CCTCCCCCCACCTTTATCTTTGTCATCTTTAACATTGTATGTACAAAAATAAACAAATCCAGTAATCGTCCTGAAGTACATTATAGGGTATAAGAACTGAAAATAATTTTAAATTCTTTCCAAAAAAGCTCAATCGATAAATAAGATTTTAGAGATGCATTTCTAAAACCAATTTTAATAAAATTTTCTATGATATAAATGTTGACCAAATAAACCTTTATTTGGTCAACATTTCAAACAGCTGATAAATTCTGGGGCCGGGATTTTTTCTAGTAAAATAAATAGTTTTCAAGCTTTCCAAATACATGGGCGGTCATTATCCTTCACCTTGTGGTGTCCAGCTTATAGTGTCAGTATACGTTTATAGTTTAGTATAGTAGCACTTATTTACCAGCTTATAGTGTCAGTATACGTTTATAGTTTAGTATAGTAGCACTTATTTACCAGCTTATAGTGTCAGTATACGTTTATAGTTTAGTATAGTAGCACTTATTTATCAGCTTATATTTACTTTGCTTGTCTCTCCTCTCCTGTCTGTTTATATCCAATAAACGTCAAAACGGCTGAACCGATCGGGCCCAAATTTTGTGTGGGACCTCGCATGACCCCAGGGAAGGTTTATGAATGATCGAATTTTCAACATTTGCCTCTAGAAAATTCGATGTTTGCAAATTTTAAAAATCCGAGCATTTTTTTTTATAAAATCCGGAAAATTGTGGTTTGTTTTTGTTTTTATAACGTATAACAATTTCACAATTGAAATAAAAATAAAAGCCAGTACGTTTTTATTTTAGTATGAAAGCACTTATTTACCAACTGAAATAATATAGATTTTTGGCCAGACATATCCTGGGGTAATGTAAGGTCCCACAAAAAATTGGGCCCGATTGGTTCAGCCGTTTGAACGTTTATTGGATACAAACATTTTGTATATTATAGATTGTTGGATCTAATTATTTAAACTCAAATTAAAACCTCGGGCAGCACCTGTAGTTTTGTATTATTAACATGCCAGCTTTATTTTATAAAAATCCTTGAAAATAAAACCTAAAAACTAAAACTTTGTGTTCAAACAAAAATTAGCCTCTTTGATTTAACCGCAATCTCCCAACTATAGCTTTCTTGAAAATTGTTTAAAATGAAACCCTAGTCCAGGTTTAATCTTTCTTCACCTTGAAATTCCAATGTTTTACATATAATTAGAACTAGATAGAAGATGCAGGACAAAACTCCTAATCCTTCAATCTAAACTTTTTCTCTTTTCTCAAATTTAAAAAGAATCTAAGCTTGTTAAACCTGAAACTTGAAAACAATTGTTTTAAATTAACTTGCAGTGCATGCAGTTTTAGTTAAAGAAATTGAGCACATGTCACAAACTCTTATTTTCTATAACCCGATGTCGTTGACCATAGATATTTCAAGCTATGAATTATGTTATAACTAAGGTTTCCACCATCAGATTTTAAAGATTACTAAACTTGATTTTGGGGCATAACTTAATTCCTTTTAATTTTAAACATAAGTTCTCTTTACAACTGAACATTCGTACATGGAATAATTAAATATTTTATATTTCATCTGTAATTAAATACAATTTCGGTTTCAATTTTGACAGAATCGTTGTTTTTCAGCGAGAACGTCAGTTTGTTTAAAAAAGATTTACTAATAACATATTTTTTATAAAGGGAAATGAAATTTCCTAATCAAAACTTGTAATTTCAAGAAAATTTCTAAAATCGACGTTAATCATTTGCATTACAAAAACATAATTGGAATATTGCATGGCTGATTACAGACTACATTATTAATTTTTAGAAACATTTTAAGATCCCCCCTCCCTCTTTTTTTAAAAATTAATTTGATTTATTTACAGAGAATGTCGTCTAGATACATTGCTCGTAAATATGGTGAATCTAGAACTTCTAGATCTCAGTCAGTAGCTGGGGATAACTGGTCCAGAGCTTCTTCACAGGTTAAATACAATATATATCAAGCAGACTATATCGTTGCATCCTGATACTGTAACTCTTTGATAATACACTTTAACTTTATGATCTCGCAGTATTCATAGTTTGATATATCAGAGTTCTATGACATCAGGTGCAGCAAACATTATAAGAAAATAAGAGTTGGAAGCAAGTGTTCACTTTCCTTCTATATAGAATATATTGCACGGTAAACTAGAGGTCCTGATTAAATAGAATACATTGCACGGTAAACTAGAGGTCCTGATTAAAAGTCTAGAGAGTCTTAACTTTTTAACCCATTTTCACTCCTTTGATGTATATTTTTTTATTCAACAGCTATTTAACAAATTTACACGTAAAGCTTTCTATACTCGATGACCAGTCAAAGGTTTAAAGGATACAGTTGTAAACAGAGCAGTGCAGCCCTCTTTGCATGAAGGATTACTTAAAATTTTGCTTACAGTCCCTTTAATAATGAAACATTTAAGATTCGTGAGGTTGGAAGTGGTTACTCTACTCGAGCAACAACACCTGAAATAGAACGTCCCTGGTCCTCAGCATCTACATACAACTACTACACCAACTACCCAACACCATCCTACAACAACCAAACATCAGGCAGTAGACCCTCTACTCCTCAACCCCAAAGGTAGAATTATCTATTTATTGAGTGTGCTGTGTGATAGAAAAATATTTAATGTCTATTGTCTAGCAAAACGACCAATAAATGTTAATTGGCATCATTTTTGATAATTATCATTTTTGGTTTAGTTCGGATTTTTAAAAACAAACTATCCCTCGCTTTAAAATAAAATGGTTAAAAATCAGTTAGTTTTAGTTTTAGCTTCTGAAACGAAAAAGAAAACGACAAACCAATAGTTTTGGAGAAAAAACGACAATTTTTGTCAACATTCGTCTAGATAAAACTGGATAGAAATTTATTCTGTAGCGAGATTTATGCATGTTTACCTAGATATATTTACTTTTGAGAATTTGTCTACTGTAAGTGTGTATAGAAAAGGCCTTTTGATAACTCAATCAAAGCAAGTTTTGTTTAATCCATGCATTTTTTTTTCTTTTAAAAACGAAAAACGATCGTTCTTCAACTATCTAAGAAAAATGAACCTGATCGATTATTGTACACAAACAGACATACAACGCAAATTACGTGTATTCTTGTATTTAAATATATATTATACATCAGTTACACAATGCCACCTTGTTGGTAGCTTTTTGACAGAATTGTGACGTGAATTTATATTGCTCACTTTCTGCTTCAATTCACATTCTTTTTTTTCTACTTCACATTGACATTCGATCCCTTTAGTTTCTACTTCACATTGACATTCGATCCCTTTAGTTTCTACTTCACATTGACATTCGATCCCTTTAGTGTCTGCTTCACATTGACATTCGGTCCCTTTAGTTTCTACTTCACATTGACATTCGATCCCTTTAGTTTCTACTTCACATTGGCATTCGCTCCCTTTAGTTTCTACTTCACATTGACATTCGATCCCTTTAGTGTCTGCTTCACATTGACATTCGGTCCCTTTAGTTTCTACTTCACATTGACATTCGATCCCTTTAGTTTCTACTTCACATAGACATTCGGTCCCTTTAGTTTCTACTTCACATTAACATTCGGTCCCTTTAGTTTTTACTTTACATAGACATTCGGTCCCTGAAGTTTCTACTTCACATTAACATTCGGTCCCTTTAGTTTCTATTTCACATTGACATTCGAGCCCTTTAGTTCCTATTTCACATTGACATTTGGTCCCTTTAGTTTCTACTGCATATTGACTCTCGGTCCCTTTAGTTTCTACTTAACATTGACATTCGGTCCCTTTAGTTTCTATTTCACATTGACATTAGGTCCCTTTAGTTTCTACTTAATATTGACATTCGGTGCCTTTGTCATGTCATGTTTCGCAAAAGAGTGGAACTACTCGCTTAGAATAACAATACATTTTTAACTTGATGATGTAAACCTTTAAATAATTCAAAAAATTGACTTTTTATCTGGCAGAATTTATAGTTTTAAATATCAAAGATCATACAACATCAAGTTGGGGTGAGAAAATAAGATTTGGAAGTGAGTAATGAGTTCCTAACTTGTTTTTGTAGGAACGGGAACTCAGGGTTGGTTCAGCTTGGTGTTCCAAGACGAGGATTAACTCCACCTAGAACAGTATATTCAGGGAACCCATAGCATACAAGGTTACAGGGTACTTAGCACCCCTCTATCAAGTTATAATTTTGTTTTGTGTTTAATCCATCCACAAGCTTAGTTTAATTCGCATTTGGCAAAAAAAAAACAAAAAAACAATTTTGGTTAGTTTCATGTTCTTGATAGTGGATTTGAAAAACAATAAGATCAGGGGCATTTTTTTCCGATCGGCAGTTGGGTGATGTAATACAATTATTTATCTATTGGTCATGTGAGGTCACAACAAAATTGAAAAGGTTCGGTGCAGAAAACAAACAAGCATACAAACATTATTTCGGTTAGTAAATGAAGCATTTTGGATTAAACGAAATACAATTTTTACATTTTTCGGAATAAGTTCTTAATTTTATTGATCTATACATACTTTAAGACTTTAAATCTATTTTGTTTTGTTTTTTAATTACCCAATGCAGCCTCCAGAATACTTTTTTCGAACTTTTAGATTGATTTAACACCTGGATGCAAATTCCTCTTGTCGATTTTTATCCGAACCGAATTTTTCACCAAGCTCAAATATTTAGGACAATTGTTGAATTTTCCTGTAAATGCATTGAAATGCAGAAAATAATTCTCAAGTCAACACTGAAATCTGTCAAAACTATGCAAGCACAGACTCAGTTTTAAACATCAAAATAACATTGCCTCACACATATTCAAGTTTGAAAACAAATTTGCAATCTCATGAGCTCTGGGTTTGCGTAGATGCATTGCTAAAAAGTTCAAGGAAACTCAGAGAGAGATCATTCTCACCAACAAGAGAACATGTAGCAACAGTCCGGTAAAATATTTACTCAAAGATTCGTTATTGCCATGAGTTTTTGAACATTTAAAAAATTCTTTAACAAAATCTTAAACAAATTAAATTTGTTTTAGTAAATGTTAAATGGTTCTATTGTATTTTAACGGTATTCCAAAAAAAGTTCTGGAATCTAGGTCACCCTTAAAATGTAAACCTTCCCCCACCTTCTCCATCCACATTTTGTTTGTCACATCGCTATCATTTTGACAAACCACAGTGAAACTTCTTGACTTTTAAGACAAACATAGTTCATAAAATTAAACCTGAAATTTCAGAGAATATATATTTAAATAAGTGCTTTGTTTATTAATTGTTCTTGACATGAATTAAGAAGAGTACTATTAGTACTTTTCTCTAATTACTCATATATCATGTAGGCCGGAGTATACAGATGCTGATAATGATAAATATTTAAACTTTATTCTAGAATTTAAAAAATAACTAATATTTACTTCTTTAAGGGACTGTAAGCGTATTTTCAAGTGACCCTCCATATAAAGAAGGCAATGCCCGATTTACAACTGTTTTAAGTATTGTCTGATCGTGAAATTTATATCAATGTTGATAAGTTTGAAAACTGATTATTTTCAATCGTGGCTTCTCTACAAGTAACTTGCGCATTTCTACACGCTGAAGTAGGGTTTCCATTCGCAAAACTTTTGCGCAATTTTTGTGGAACGAAACGCAAAATTTGTCTTTTGTTGCGCATCAGTTTTGCGCGAAAAAAAACAGCAATTTGCGCAATCATTTTCAAAAGTCATTTTGCGCAAAATTGCCCTGTTCCGCTTTTTCCCAACTCGAGTTTTGCGTAATTCCGCAATTCCACAATTCTGCGATTCCGCATTTTCGTTATAATCATACGTGTGTATTTCTTAGAATTATTAATAGTATTATTCAATCAGAGTTATAATTCCTTCAATCGGCGCTATCAGTAAATATAAATATTTTCTTCTACTGAAACTATTGTGCACTTTTCATAAATGTAGCCTAATCAGATTTCAGAATGCCTTTTGCATTGGTAGCCTTAAGGCTACCTTTTTGTAGAATTGAAATTTAAGAATATAATTCATGCTAGATCAGGCAGTTTTTAAAGGTACCGTTGTGAATTGAGCATTGTCACCTTTGCATGGAGGGTCACTTGAAATTTAGTTAATAGGATTTAAATATTGCCAAGTTTCTCAGTCAGTCTATTTCTATTTGACTAATTTTGGTCCCTTAGTTTGTACTTTTTAAGAGTAGTTTAATCATACGTTTTTTGTTTATAATTTTTTTTTGTATGTAATAGTTGAATAAATCTTCAGTTGTTTAATTCTATGCTTAAAATTTCAACTTCGTCAATTGCTTAAAAAGTTACTTTTTGCGTAATACTTTCGATTTTGTGCTAAGAAAATATCGCAAAACTCATTGCGTTTCATGCGCAAAAATTCGCAAAAAAAACTTTTGCTCGAAAATGGTGCAAATTTTGCTCTAAAAATAAAATCATTTCGTGTAAACCCTCGCTTGGAAGTTCTTTCATAGTTGAATTTAAATATTTTAGGTCTGTTTCTCAGTATAAAGCAAACTCTGACTACTACAGGGGAAAAACGAAGTCTATATATGAACGAGAACCAATGTTTGACGAGTTTGTCAGGTAAAAATACAAAACAAAAACAATCTTCACCAAAACCCGCTATATCTTCGGTCAGTGTACTGCAAATCACTGCAGTACACACCGAAAGCTTAGTTGAGGGTGAGAAGATTAGAGGTCAAAACTTTTGAATTGGTAATCTCTTTGTAAAAGATACTTATCGGCTTCTTTTGTAGTCCAATGGATTAAGCTAATTACTTCCGAATGTACATGATTTAGCTGTTATTTTTTCACGGATTAAACTCTTTATCAATTCAAATCAAAAGTTTACACAATGAATATCAAGATCAGGCGTTGTACAACGTATATAGATTAGTGATTTGTTTCCTTGCAGTTTTCGTTTAAACACGAATGTTTGAAATCTGTAATGAAGGAAAAAAGAAGAAAATGTTGCAAATATTTTCTAATGAACAAAGTCATGGCTAGTTATTTTAAATACTTAAACTACTCTGGTCACAGATCACATAAATCTTTAAAAGAATTTTAATACTTTAATGTTATAAAAGCAATTTCAAATTGAAAGAACTTATACATATGTTTATAAAAAAACTGTTTCCAATTTTTGAATTTTGGAGCCATTTAAAAAAAATTTTTTTTATCGATTTCTAAGGTTACACTTCAGTATTTTGTCGCGGAATAAGGCCTCTTTCTTCATTTCGGATATCTCATTTTGCTTTGATTTTTTAATTTCTTAAATTTTTACTTCAAATTTCAAATTTTCTGTAAGTTTTTTAATTTGTTCGGATTGGTTTCCGGATAAAAAAATATTTTATCTGTTTTAAGATTTAAGAAGTAAAAAAGCTAATTTTAAAACAAAATGACAAATGAGTCCGAAAACCATCGTTATTTCCCTTTACACCTATTAATGAGTAAACACTGAAAAATAAGATTTGTCGAAAAGTGAAAACTCTTTCCCGGTCAAATTGTCTTTTTTATTTTTTATTTTTATAATTGCATTTTAAAAATTGGTGTATTTTAGCAAATACATGGTTTTCGGACTTATTTGTTATTTTGTTTTAAAATTAGCTTTTTTTTACTTCTTAAAATAATTTTTTTTTTGCCTGGAAACCAATCCGAAAAAATGGAAAACATACAGAGAATTAAAAAATTTAATTTAAGATATTAAAAAGATGAGAGCAAAAAGAGATATCCAAAATGTTGAAAGACAAAAACCTTGACTGTAACCTTTGAAATCGCTAAAAAATTTAAATAAAAAAAACGGCTACAAAATTCAAACATTGGAAACAGCTTTTTCTTTAAACATATGTATCAGTTCTTTCAATTTGAAATTGCTTTTATAACATTAAAATATTAAAATTCTTTTAAAGATTTATGTGATCTGTGACCAGAGTAGTTTAAGTATTTAAAATGGTTCAAATGGTTTAAAAGTATTTGCCTACATTTTATTATTTAATAAATTTTATTGTCAGGTTTTGATTAAAAAAGAGTAAAAGTTTATCCTAATATTGAAAAGAGCGAAAACAAATATATTTCGAATAAAATTTTCCAAATATATGTGGAGTAAAGTGAGTAAAGTATTGGAGGGAAATTTATTGGTTTTGTGCAGACTGTATACCGGACATTAATGTATTACCATAGGCTGTTTAATCCTATGTACATACAATACTAGGTGCTCAGAACACTTTCTGATTATTTGATCTTAGATTTATTTCATAATACACAAATGAAAGGCAGAGGGGGCAATTGGGGCTTAGCCCCCCCCCCCCCTACCACTTGGACAAGTGAAATCTATGTTTGTCAGTAGGTTTTGGGGCCCAAACAGATAACGGGAACAGAAAGTTAGAAATTAAGTCAAGTAATCAGTTTTTTATTTTCAGTAATCTACCCTTGACGGATCTCCACGCCTTCAATTCCACTGATCTTGGTCGACTTAAGCGACAGTTTCAGGTAGAGAAAACTTGAAATATTTCAGGTAGAGAAAACTAGAAATATTTCAGGTAGAGAAAACTTGAAATATTTTAGGTAAACTTGAAATATTTCAGGTAGAGAAAACTAGAAATATTTCAGGTAGAGAAAACTAGAAATATTTTAGGTAGAGAAAACTTGAAATATTTCAGGTAAACTTGAAATATTTCAGGTAGAGAAAACTACAAATATTTTAGGTAGAGAAAACTAGAAATATTTCAGGTAGAGAAAACTTGAAATATTTTAGGTAGAGAAAACATGAGATATTTCAGGTAGAGAAAACTTGAAATATTTCAGGTAGAAAAAACTAGAAATATTTCAGGTAGAGAAAACTTGAAATATTTCAGGTAGAAAAAACTAGAAATATTTCAGGTAGAGAAAACTTGAAATATTTCAGGTAGAGAAAACTAAAAATATTTCAGGTAGAGAAAACTTGAAATATTTCAGGTAAAGTTGAAATATTTCAGGTAGAGAAAACTTGAAATATTTCAGGTAAAGTTGAAATATTTCAGGTAGAGAAAACTAGAAATATTTCAGGTAGAAAAAACTAGAAATATTTTAGGTAGAGAAAACTTGAAATATTTCAGGTAGAGAAAACATGAAAAATTTCAGGTACAGAAAACTTGAAATATTTCAGATAGAGAAAACTAGAAATATTTCTGGTAGAGAAAACTAGAAATATTTCAGATAGAGAAAACTAGAAATATTTTAGGTAGAGAAAACAGAAAATATTTAAGGTACAGAACACTTGAAATATTTCAGTTTTCAAAACACGACGGTGCTTCTAAATAACATTGAAACGATTTTCGGTTAGAACTTAAAAATACATAGTTCAAATTTCAAATTTATTGGGATTCAAGATTTAACGTATATTTTTAACAAATATTTATTTAAATGAGTCATAATAATTTTATTTTCCGAAAAAGATAATATATCATTATTCATTAAACATGATTCAGGCAATGGTAGAGAACAGATGGTCTAGGAAACAGTGTAATGATCCGAGTGTACCGCACGATACAGCTTATAAGGTACTTATTAGAGATACATGATACATAGTACAGGCTAGATATGGCACACAAGGTAGATATTTGAGATACAGGATACAGGATACCGAATAGATATTAGAGATACAAAATAGACATAGCACACAAGGTAGATGTTAGAGATACAAAATGCAGAATACAGGATACAGGATACAGAATACAGGATTTAAGATACAGAATACAGAGTACAGAATACAGAATACATTATACAGAATACAGAATGCAGAATATATATTAGAAATACATGTAGATATTAGAGATACAGAATACAGTTTAGATATTAGAGAGTATACAGAATATATATTAGAGATACGGAATACAGAAAAAAAGTTATATATTATTAATACGGGATACGGGATACAGGATACAGACAGGGTAAATATTAGAGATACAGGATATAGAATACAGTATAGATATTATGAATACATGATACAGGATAGATTAGAGATATAGGATATAGATTATAGAACACAAGGTAGATGTTAGAAATACTGGATACAGGATACAAGATAAATATTAGATATACAGAATACAAGATAAATATTAGATATACAGGATACAAGATATTATTAGTTTTATGAATCTGGCCAGATAAGATTAGCTAAATTATATTTTGAAATATGTGAACATTGAACATCATCTTTTAGACGGAAAATTGGCGATTTATTCATGTTTACTGTCTAGATATGTCCCCGAAAAAATCTATTTCCGGTTCCAGATACTGATATTTGAATAATCTATTTCCGGTTCCAGATACTGATATTTGAATAATTTGTATTTTAGACAAATCTTTGGATACTTTTCAAATATTTGTTGAGTGATTATTTCTTCAGACAATTTCAGAAAATTAAGTTTTTTTTCTTCATTTTTTCCTTATTTGTCAACAATTAGTACATAACTAACTTAGAAGAAAAATATGCTGTTCTGTTTTCAAGCTAGAAATTTAGGCGTGTCATGAGATCTGAATATTTTTTGATTCAATGTGAGGAGAAGAGGAAGGCCAACCACATTCTCCACATTTTCTCGTCCGAGCCACCTCGAAATCCTCGTCCTTTCAATATTATTTTTTTAAAGTGTCTAATCCTTCCAGATAAAACCATCTTTTTAAGAATAAAGCCACGTTAGGGCATAAATGAAATATCAAATTTTTGTAAATCGAAAAAGAAAGTTTCCATTGAATTAAAGGTTTCAAGTTTAATGTCTTTAAAAATGTTCACCTTTTTTACGCGCATTTTCAGATGTTCCTGGAGTAGAATGCCGCAAATAATTCCAAGTTTATAGAATGAACTTCAATCTTTTTTGTTAACTATAGTGAAAACCATAGATTTTTCCGGGTGGTTCCATGGGGAAATGATGGACAGAGGTATGCCGAATATTTTGCTATTTATTTCATATCACAAAGGTTAGCAATTACGGAGGCAGAAGAGATTACAAATTTACCTAAATAAAGTTTGACATCATTCTTATGGGTTTGAAGATTTAAATTGCAATAAAATCATTGCAATACTTTATTCCATCCATATTTTATGCCCAAACGTGGCCAGATTTAAAAAAAATAGTTTTATCTTCAAGAATTTGAAACTTTTTAACACAAATAATCGAAGGACGAGGATTCCCAGGTGGCTCGGACGAGAAAATGAGGAGAATGTGGCTCGGACGAGAAATTGTTGTGGCTGGCCTTCCTCCCCTCATGTGAGAATCCACTGAGATATCTGTCGTCTGTCTGAAAGGCACTGTTTGGATAATTTGAGAACAGAAGTAATTTCTGTCTCATCATATTAAAGCGATGTTTGAAAATAGTAATACTTGTTTCAATAAAAGTAACAATCGATAACTTTTTAGTTTTTACACAATTTGAAAATTATTTCGCGGAGTCCGCTGACATTTTTTTTATGTTTTATGTATGTATGTATGTATGTATGTTATGTCCTCTGTACATTTTAATGAGGAACACATGAGGAACAATTAAAACATATTCAGAACATTAAAAAGAACAGTTAGTTAGGGAGAAGAAAGCATCCTAAATATTAAAACTGAGCTAAAGGCCTTAAAAGATGTGTCACATAAAAAAGCGTCCCCTAGGGGAATATGGGGAAATTAAAACATCACATTAATGTTATTAAACATTAGATATTAATATTTGGATTGTTATGCTTAAAAGCTTCTAAAACTGTTCATTTTATTTATGCCGTTGAACCATGGTTTCCAATCGCAATTCTGTTGCCTGGAATTCTGCGGATGCACGCGAAATTACAGAGATCGCAAGTGCAACCAAATAATATCCACTTGCGTGGAAACCCTACATTGATCGAGAATGGGTTTACACACTTTGCTTATGGTAGATGTCAACAAGGGTGTGAACCCATTCTCGTTAACTATAGTAGACCTATAGTTAACAAGTTTCATGGGTTCACAACCTTTGCTAATGGTGTATGTCAAAGTCTACTATAGTCAACTAGAATGGGTTGAGACACTTTACAAATGGTAGATGTCAAAGTCTACTACAGTCAACAAGAATAGGTTAAGACCCTTTACTAATGGTGGATGTCAAAGTCAACTACAGTCAACTAGAATGGGTTAAGACCCTTTACTAATGGTGGATGTCAAAGTCTACTACAGTCAACAAGAATGGGAAAGACCCTTTACTAATGGTGGATGTCAAAATCAACTACAATTAACTAGAATGGGTTAAGACCCTTTACTAATGGTGGATGTCAAAGACTACTATAGTCAACTAGAATGGGTTAAGACCCTGTACTAATGGTGGATGTCAAAGTCTACTATAGTCAACTAGAATGGGTTAAGACCCTTTGCTAATTTTTTCACCCCCAGGCTACCCATGAGTGTCTAAAACAAATTTCAGCCCAGTCGGTCCAGCCGTTTGACCGGCCAGAGTGAACATATATACTATTGTCTCGTTTTATTATATAGATTACAATGAATTTGTTTAATATTAAGAATATAATTTCAATAGGAAAACAGCTTTAAGCCATCTGAGCACCCCTTGCTGCAATAATTTCAATTATTTTTAAATATGGCTTAATTTATTATTACGTTTACTACAGCAAAATATATGATGTGATTTGATTTGAGCATGAACAGTTTCATTGTGAATCTAACAACGTGTTCGGCAAAGTTATGCAAATTGTTTACTCTAAACGTTTAAAATTTCCACCCTCCATTATCCACAGTAACCCCTAGTATTTACATTCCACTACATTCTTTCTTAAGTAGATAAAATGAAGAAAAAGGAGAATAGGAAGGAACACACTAATCACCGCACCTCTTTTTTTAAAGACTTTTCTTCTCTATCAAGAATGTTCAAGAATGTTCACACGTTTCAATTCAGCAAAATACACAAAAAAAAATCTACATTAAACATAAATGAAGGTTTTTTTTTCTCCGCAAACAATAATGTTCAATAAAGCCATTGAAAGATTTTTTATAATTTATTATAATGAGGACAATTTTTGCAATTTTTGACTTTCATCTCTATAAGTTAATCTTTAAATATTTCTTTCTTTATCATTACAATGTGTCGTTAACATGCATGTATTGAAATTGTCGTTCATTATAGTATTTTAGAAAGCTTCTATTTTAAGAAATTACTCTCTTACAATACATACACATATATATATTTAGACAGGTAACATACCTCAAATAAAAGAATTCTGCACTAGAACTTAAACATTTTAAAGAGCGTTTCAACTCTTAATCTTTTCATCCCATTACACAATAATTATAGAGTTTTTAAAGAGGGTAAACTGTTGAAATATTTACATATAAATAAATGTAGATATATTTAAACGGGAGAAAATTTATATAAAGCTTAAATAAAGCTATTTTGCTGTAAACTTTCAACTGTTTAGAGAAATTTCATTTTTTTAAATACATACATACAGGGTGTCCCACGAAACATGACAGTGGATGAACTATTTAGAATGTCTTCTTCCATAATTTGTTATATTGATTGATACCAAGACAATAAAAAAATATTGTGCAGGGAGTCATATTATAGTAAAATTGATTTCAAAGTAAAATATATTTGAGAAAAAGATTTTTTTTAGCGAAATAAACTGCAAAAAACTTTAATATCATAATATGGTATATGTAAAACGACATTCAAACTTATTAAACAACTGTCATGTTTCGTGGGACACCCTGTATATATAAATATAGAACATTTCTGCTCTAATCTTTTCACCACAATAAACGAAGTGTTTAAAAGGACCCTAATATAAGAACACTATGTTTTTAGCGCGCTTCGAGCCCATCTTCCATTTCCATTTTGAGCATGTTCTCTTTGGATACATTTTCAAACAAAATGAAAAAAGTCGCCTATTTCAAAAAAATTTAGTGGATTTTCAACAATTTTTAAAACGAATTTTGTTAGAAGCAAATTTTGGAAAATTTGAACATCCTTAAAACTTCCCTGGGGTTACGCCGAGGTCCCACAAAAAATTTGTGCCCTATCGACCGGTTCAGCAGTTTTGACGTTTATTGGATACAAACTAACAGATACCTCACGGTGGACTAAGCCAGTGGGGTCGGTCAAATAGGCCTAGGATTAGGCCGGGTACTGTAAAAAGTCTGAACGCGCCATGGGAGTTGTCATAGATAGCCCTCTCACGGGACTAAGCCAAGAAAATTGACCCCTGTCATATGTTAGTCTGGTTAGGGCGACGTATTGTACCGCAGGATCGGGTCAGTACACGCTGTTATCTGGCAGGCCGGTACAAATTGGGCAGGTCCTGTTCGAATTCAAATTTACTGCGGGGATAGAGTGACCTAAACAAAGTTTATTTATAGATAATATAAGATGTGCATTTATGTATTTAAATGAAGAAAGGACATCCCAATATAAAAGAATGAATGGAACACACAGATTAAAAATCCAATTTTTAAGTAAACTTTATTCTTTTCTCTTTTTATCATGATTACACATAAAATAGAGTTTTAAAGGGACTGTTTAGATATTTATATTTAAAAGGGATAGTTATTTACGTATATACAACCATAGGGTCAGGTAGGTTCGGTTTCTTCAGTTTTGTATTCAATCGTGTTTTGGTCTATATAATGTACAGATTGATCAAGACTGCTATTAAAACTTGCATCAGTTTTAAAGATTGAGTCGAATTTAAAGTGTCGCAACACCTTGACCATCAATTTTACATCAATAAATCAAATATACTTTTTTGTAGCCCTAAACATGTACAATTCTAGCAATAAAGAACTTGCTTCTTTGAAGGGAGTAATTTTCAAAATGCTTAGAAATTTTTACATTAGAGCTTGCATTAGAGCTGGGGGGAGGGCAGCATTTTCCACTGAAGCTTTCAGAGGAATGGGTACATTTCATTATTCTGTATAATTCTTGTCAATAAAGGAATGATGAGGTATATGGCACTGTTATTAGTAAGAGGGGGGAATGAGGAGAAAGGGGGGGGGGTAAATTGAACTATTTTTATTTTGTTAAACATTAGGGGAAATATTTATCTTTGCCTTTTTAAGTTGAAAATTTCACTTTTCCTGTAATTGAAAGGAGGGGGGGGGGGGGGGGGGGGGAGGGGGGAAGTACAAATATTTTCCGCGCTTATTTTTATCCCCCCCCCCCCCACCTGCTTTAAATTTCAGAACTGCCATTGAATTCAACAATTATTACTTTTTTTTATAACTTTTTTTCTAAGTATTTCATTTAGATAAATAAAGATTGATTAAATTAAGATATGGAAAAAAAATGGCGTCGTTTAAAGAATTTAAATTTCACACAAATCTTCTAAACTGACAGATACGGCATTTTTAAGAGTATTATCTTTCTTGAAATATTTATCTTTCACGGCTTGGTGATTAGTGTCAAGATACTTTATCTGTTAATTAATAAGGAAGCAACTCGTTAAACATTTTTATTAATATTTAATTATTTGATTACCTAATCAACATATTGTTAGAGAGGCTTTTTGTTAAACTATCTTGTTTTCTAATTGTCAAATATCTATATCAAGTATTTAATTATCTAATTATTATTTAATTATTCAAATATTATTTGATTATTTAATTATCATATTCTGTATGTATAATTAATTTTCATCAAATTATTTAAGTTGTTTGATCGTATATTAATTATCTGATTATTTATTTTTTTGTTATCTAATTACTCTTCTGCACATTAAAATTTTGCTTTACTACGGGTTCCCTCGACCAGTGTTTTGCCTACAAACACCCCTCACTAAACTCTTGGTCTTGGGTACCTTTGGCAAAGTAAAATTCCCTGAACTTCCTTGTAAAGCAGTAATATTTTTGTGTTGATAATTTTTTGTATTATCTAATTATTATATTTCTAGGCCAGCTCTTGGTCTAACTATCTTGCTAAACCCTCTCCTGCAAGTGTTACTCTGGGAGAAAAGCATAGATACAGGTTGGAATATAATATGTTTTCTCATCTGTCATTGTTTTTAGTTCTTATTGTCATTATATATATATTAGTTAGAATATTCAGAATTTTCCTATTATCTCTATTTTAATGTACAAATGAACAAAGGAATTAATAAAATGCGATTTTTCTGCAAATTGCGTAATAGGTATAGGAAACATATATTTATAATTAATTGTAAATTCATTCTAGATATATATTACATTTATCCTATTTATTACATCCATTGCATTCATTCTTTTTATTGCAATTAGCCTATTCATTACATTAATCCTATTTATTACATTCATTCTTTTTATTACATTTATCCTATTTTTTCGATTCATCCAATGTATTACATTAATCCTATTTATTGTATATATCCAATGCACTCGTCTTATTAATGTAATTTATTAAATTTATTAAATTCATCCTATTTATTACATTAATTAAATATATTCTATCCAAATTATTTCTACTAATTACACCTATTACCCCTCTAACGTCTAAACCATCTAGTTTTAATATTTTCATATAATTTTTGAGATCGCCTAAATTCATTTTAAAAACAAACATGATATAAATCTATTTCAGGGGTAAAACACCTTCTAATCTTCCCCGTATCTACGTCTATCACAGGTATCTAACATATTCAGTGATGAAATGAAAAATTTGATAATTGACATGATCAAGATAGATAGTTCATATCGTTATCATACGATTATCATATCAAACATTGACAGCACATATCATTATCATATGATTAACATATCAAACATTGAAAACACATATCATTATCATATGATTAACATATCAAACATTGACAACACATATTTATCATACGATTAACATATCAAACATTGACAGCACATATTTATCATATGATAAACATATCAAACATAATAAGAAATAATAAATGCATTTATGAAACAAAGGACTTATGAAACATTAACATATTGAAAATAAAAAAAAAACACCTGCTAATATGTTTTTTGTTTTATAAGAGTACGAATAAGCAACTGTTAAAGGGACTGTCAACGTATTTTAATTTGACACTCAGTTGAAAAATTTACATGCCTGATTTACTACAGTACCACTGTTCCAACCATTTAAAAAGGTACATGTCAGATTTACTACTATACAGTACCACTGTTCCAACCATTTAAAAAGTTACATGTCTGATTTACTACAGTACCACTGTTACAACCATTTAAAAAGTTACATGTCAGATTTACTACAGTACCACTGTTCCAACCATTTAAAAAGGTACATGTCAGATTTACTACAGTACCACTGCTACAACCATTTAAAAAGTTACATATCAGATTTACTACAGTACCACTGTTCCAACCATTTAAAAAGGTACATGTCTGATTTACTACAGTACCACTGCTACAACCATTTAAAAAGTTACATATCAGATTTACTACGGTACCACTGTTCCAACTAAAGTTTACCGAACCTGTATCTGAGTTGTGTCTAGGAAGATTTTTCTATCTTGAAATTATATCTAACTACATCATCTAACAAAAGCATCCAACTAACTAGAACATCTAACTAAAGCATCTAACTACTGTATCTAACTAAACATTTAGCTATACAGCATCTAACTACAGCATTTAACTTTACAACATCTATCTATAACATCTAACTACAGCATCTAACTACAGCATCTAACTACAGCATCTAACTATAGCATCTAACTATAGTATCTAACTACAGCATCGTCGTATTTAGTTTATCAATTGGTTAGTATACAGCATTAAATTTTGATTAACTTACTATAGATTTCTTTATTGACATGAAACATGGTAATTAGTACAGGGAGAGCCATGAAATTCCGAAATAGGAAGACGACTTTAGACTCAAGTTTTGACTTTGAATATTCCAATGAACATAAGACACGGCAACAAGTAACTACACCTTCAATTAATTATTGCTTTGATGTAGTATTCCTATTCCACAGTTTTCTGATTCTCTCTGTACATGAGCAAGGGCAAGTCTAAGTATGATAACAACAGTAAAAATAATAAAAGAAATAATACGTATCTTTATTTTGTTTTCTGTAAGGATTTTGTGATTTGTCTAACCTCTCAAAATGTGCCCTAGGGCCAAATTTACCCTAGGACAGATTCAAGATAAATGGTTTAGATGTAGAACTAGCTCAAATTCATCAAATTCTGACCCTGAACGTTTTCTGAGATAAACAGTCATTTCCATTACAAAAAACTAGACTTGCTTCATTTAAAAATAAAAAAAACAAAGACTACTTTCATTCAATTTTATACTGTTTACTAATGTACAATAAATATCACGCGGATTTAACGGTTTGGTCTTAACCGAGAGAACGGTGACTTTCGATCACAATTTGACATATCAAATATGATTTTCAAAGATTTTCTCTCTTAAAACGTTTTGCTTTTAAAACACAAAAGTATAAGAAAGTCAACCCTGAAGTTTACTAGTTGTTGAATTACAACAACACGTGATTTGAATGCAAATAGAAGAAACCGAATGCCCTCGTTAGTCCGGTGTGATAAGTTGTCTCTTACCTACAGACAACGAAGATATTTAAAGATTTTCGTTTTCTAAACCTACTGAACATATGCTGAAGATATTTATCTTTTTAATTGAATAATCATATGGAGCTTTTTAAAACTGTTCCTGCATATTTTTTAGCCATTTATTTATTTTTACATACAATTACTGCAGACTTAGCATTATGGTTTAGCACCCATTGAATAATTGTTAAAACGACGTTCTTTAAATTCTTTCGATGGCTCCGGAGTTCTGGGTTAACCTGTAGTTTATTTATAATTGCTTAGGAGCACACAGTGATGGACATAGCGATGCTTCAGAAGAAAGTATTTCTTCAAACTGCAAAACTCCCAAGAAACTAATTTTTTATCAAAAATATAAATAAAAATTTGCTCAATGTATAACGATTATCAAAAATAAAGGAAATTAAATTAAATAGTTATGATTTTTATTCTTATTAATAAACATCGACAATGAACAGGTTTTTAAAAAACTTCTTTCATTGGTACAGTGTAGCAGGAAATAATGTTCATTTAGTAGCAAGCTTTCTTTTTTATTTCTTTAATCCCTTTCTGGTCAGATAGCCTCTGAAATAAAAAAATATAATTGAATAAAAATCTAACAATGTTTATGAAATGGATTCTAAACCTATTTAAAAACTTTTTCTCTGGTAGCAACAATCATTAATTTTCCTGAAAAGTTTGCATCAAACGACGACGACATTTGAATTTATTTTCAAAAAAACAGACTGGATAAATATGAATCAACGGATCTTATCCACGTAAAAGTAAATATATTCTAAATTCTTCCAATATATCGTGCACGAGTTTATACACAGTCGTCGTCGTATATATGAATACAAGGAAGACTACTTTCGACTTTGATTTTTCATTTCTTTTATCATACTTTCAAACAAACAGCTCATTGTTTACTTTTGAACTTGTCATTTGAAAAAAGTTGGTTGGAAAACAACGCTGAAATAGAAAGTCGTCTTCATTGTAGCAGATTTCAAAGATAAAGAGACTAAAAAATAGAGGTTGAGCTAAGTATTTGTGTTTAAAAATTAACCGGATTAAAAAAGAAATTTTAAATTAAGTTCAAGATATTTTTATCAATAAAAAGCTATAAAAGATATACAATCTTTTTCATCATGTTTTTGGCCCGCAAAATGTATTTTAAGCTTTTATACAGGGTGTCCCAAAAAACATGGGAATTCAGTGACGAATTCGATATCGTCTTTGTTATGAATTAGCATTGTAATACCTAATTTCAAAAGCCATAATATTATTATGTCTGCTAGAGTTTATTTAATTAAAAGGGTAAAAGACTGCAAAGATGTGTGTATAATGTCTCCGCAAGATGAACAGTGAATACGGACAAGTTCACTGTGTTTGTATACTGTAATTTTCTTGTTTTACTAAGTACAACCGGTTGCAGTCAAAACATAAACAAACAAAATGTGAACATAGCAGACGAAACTCTTACAGATTACAGCTTTCTCAGTAGGTATCACTATACTAAATCAAAGAATTATTTGAAAAGACGATATCGAATTCGTCATTGAATTCCCATGTTTTTTGGGACACCCTGTAGTATTAAATCTGATTCAGGGTATCCCACAAAAAATAAGACTTCAGAGACGACTGTACAGAATTTATATTTAATGCTTCCCTTTATGATATTCCTCGTCCTAAGATGGTAACCTTGTTTTATGGCGAATTTATTATTTAGGTCTGTTCGAGTGAATGTTAAGCATGAATACAGTAAGACCTATAAAATTGTGGAATGGGAAGGCGACTGTTAGACTTAACTTATGACTTCGAATAGTCCAAAGAACAACAAAAAGAATTACATTAATTGTGCAGTTGACACATGACCCATTAAGTTTATTAAGTTTGTTTTCAACTGCAACTGTAGTAAAACTATTTGCTTTAAAACAGTTTTAAATATTCATAAGAATCATGAATGTTTAAATATCGTCTTACTATTCCACAGTATTTTGGGTCTGATCGTAACATTTTATTTTAATTTTAAAAACCTGATTCCAGCCTGTAGCTTAGTTGCTGCATAATCAACAACCAATGGATCTATCTGCTTAATATCTAAACATATTCACTATTCATCTATACATATATATACTTTGATAGTCTGTTAGGGTGTTTGTATCCAATAAACATCAAAACGGCAAAACTTATCAGACCCAAATGTCGTGTGCCCAAAAGTTTTTGATTTTTGTAAAATTTTGTAAATGCTTGAACAAATACTATAAATCTGCGAACTTTTGTTACTGTTTTATATTGTACAAAGAGATTATGCTCACAGATAGAGACACAATTTAAAGTTGAAATAAAAGAAGGACGCGAATTTTTTGATCATAAAACACATTTGGTTTAATTGATTTAAAAAAATGTAATCATAATTAATTTGTTAATGTATAGGGACCATTAGAAACATATCATTAATTAAATCAATAATAAAGAAATTATTTCCCATTGCATAGACCATTTTAATTTAAGGCACAGGATTATCTTTAAAGTTCGAGACGACTGCACGTAGTTTTTCTCTGCAGCTGTATTACTTGTTTCTAGCTTTGGCAAATGAAGAGAAACATTATCAAATATTTTCAAGGCGAAAAACATCATTTAAGCTACTGTTTGTTTGGTCTAGGTTCTTTAAGTTCTTTAATCCAAATTCATCAACAATGATTTTGGTAAAAGATGGGTTTAACGTCGTCTTCAAAATAGGATAATCAAATATGTTTTGAACTATTTTGTACATTTTTAACACAAGTCTACCGTTTTAATTATACTGTATTTGTTCAGTTTACAGTGTGTGTATATTGTGCAGTTTAGAGTGTACAGTTTACAGTGTACACTTTACAGTGTATACAGTTTACAGTTTACAGTGTAAAGTGTATAGTTTACAGTTTATAGTGTACACTTTAATTACAGTATACAGTTTACAGTGTACGGTTTACAGTGTACAGTTTACAGTGTACAGTTTAAATTGTACAGTGTACAGTTTACAGCGTACAGTTTACATTTACAGTTTAAGGTGTACAGTTTACAGTGTACAGTGTACAGTGTACATGCACAGTGTAAAGTTTACAGTGTGCAGTTTACAGTGTACAGTTTACTGTGTAAAGTGTACAATTTACAGCTTATGGAGTGTAAATGTGTGGTGCATGGTGTATAAGAAATAGTGAACGATTTATGATTAAAAGTACACAGTTTCGGTATACATACTGTACAATGAACTAAGTAAAGTTTACATTGTACATTTGTACGAGTAACACCGCTTAGTGATTAGAAATACAAACCTTTATGCTTCGCCATTTTCATCGCTTCCTTCATTAGCCTTTTTTTGGACAATTCATCGGCACTGAAAATAATTTGTTTATAACACAAATTATATAACGATCAAACAGTTTCCATTCTGTTAAATGACTTTTCTGGACTGTGAAGTTTGGAAAGGTATAGTGTATCATGTATCCTGTATATGTGGTGTATAGAAGGTTTATTGTGTTCTGTATCCTGTATATGTGGTAATAGAAGGTTTATTGTGTTCTGTATCCTGTATATGTGGACATAGAAGGTTTATTGTGTTCTGTATCCTATATATGTGGTTATAGAAGGTTTATTGTGTTCTGTATCCTGTATATGTGGACATAGAAGGTTATTGTGTTCTGTATCCTGTATATGTGGTGTATAGAAGGTTTATTGTGTTCTGTATCCTGTATATGTGGACATAGAAGGTTTATTGTGTTCTGTATCCTGTATATGTGGTTATAGAAGGTTATTGTGTTCTGTATCCTGTATATGTGGTGTATCGAAGGTTTATTTTGTTCTGTATCCTGTATATGTGGACATAGAAGGTGTATTGTGTTCTGTATCCTGTATATGTGGTTATAAAAGGTTATTGTGTTCTGTATCCTGTATATGTGGTTATAGAAGGTTTATTGTGTTCTGGATCCTGTATATGTGGTTATATAAGGTTTATTGTGTTCTGTATCCTGTATATGAGGATATAGAAGGTTTATTGTGTTCTGTATCCTGTACATGTGGTAATAGAAGGTTTATTGTGTTCTGTATCCTGTATATGTGGTTATAGAAGGTTTATTGTGTTCTGTATCCTGTATATGTGGTGTATAGAAGGTTTATTGTGTTCTGTATCCTGTATATGTGGTTATAGAAGTTTTATTGTGTTCTGTATCCTGTATACGTGGATATAGAAGTTTATTGTGTTCTGTATTCTATGTCTGTGGTGTGCAGAAAGACTGTATCATATTCGTAATTGTGTATACTGTATGCTTGGTATGTAGTAGGTGTAGTGTATCCTGTATCCTGGATGAAAATGTATTGTATCCTGGATGTATTGTGCATGAAAATGTAATGTATTCTGTATTTAGTGTATATAAACTGTCTTATATCCTGAATGTATTCTGAATAAAAATGTTTTGTATCCTGGATGTATTGTGCTTGAAAATGTATTGTATCCTGTATGTAGTGTATATAAACTGTCTTATATCCTGAATATATTCTGAATAAAAATGTTTTGTATCTTGAATGTATTGTGTATGAAAATGTATTTTATCCTGGATGTATTGTAAATTATATATATTGTAAGATGGCTGACTCACTGCTCACCTAGGTTCCTTCTGCATAATGATGCAAGAAGAAAGGATCTTAGACAACTCAGACAACTCTCTCCAATCTCAAGCTTAGCGCAACTTTTATCTCTAGCTTTCTCAACTTCTATCTATTTTCAATCTCTAGCTACCCTTCTTTATTTGATGTATCTTTATCTTTCTTATTTTCCTCAAAAAATAGAAATAAATTAATCATTTGCATGTATAAAGTTTTAACAATACTATCCAAATAATGATTTAATCATATTTAAACTCTTTATACGATCCGCTTCCGTAGATTTACGATGCTTTCTTAATCTTGTAGATTTAGGTTTAGGCTTCGGTTCAGATTGGATTTGGTTCTGGTTTGATTGTCTCTTATTCTGAAGATAGTGCTTCTCCTGCAGGTTGGATGGGAGTTTTAGGTTGGGAGCTAGATACTGCTCTTCCTGCAGGTTGGAAGGGAGTCCTGGGTAGGGAACTGGATACTGCTCTTCCTGCAGGTTGGATGGGAGTCTTGGGTTAGGAACTGGATACGGCTGCTCCTGCAGGTTGGATGGGAGTCTTGGGTTGGGAACTGGAAATCTTGTGTTGTCAGTTAAAGGTCTTCGTTCCGCCAAGTTATTGTCATTTCTTCTTTTTGGGTAAAATGCTGGTTTAGAATTTCTGGAAAAAAAAACAAAAAGCTATAATTTTCAAAATTGATTTTTAAAAATTAAACAAGGGTAGAGATAGCGTACCTTATAGTCACTGGTGGTTTTGGATATGGTGTTTCTAAAACAAAGGTTTCTATAAAAATCATTTAATTTTAGAATAATAAGACCCATCTTAAGAAAGCATTAAAACGCAGTTTGACATAAACTCATCAGCCAGTACATTTGCAAATTTAATACAGTGCAAAATGCAATCACTTAAAAAAACAAGATCTGGTTGAACATTTTTCCATCATTAAACAAGGTTGTAACTAAACCCGGGTCTGTATATTTAATCTTTTTTAAATATATTCCCCCACCTGGTTGGAAATAAGTAGAATCACTAGAAACATCCTCCTCAGCTGCAGGTTGCCCTAAACAGAAGATAATTATTGATTTGTTTTTCTCTGGTCATACAGTGATAACCAAAAAACTCTGGAATAGTAAGACGAATTTTGGAATCAAGCTATAACTTTAAAAAGTCCAATGAGCATGAGACACAGCTAATTGTAAAATGTAAACAGACCCATTTCATTACATTAGTGAATTTTTAAGTGTCTAGTAGTTGCTAGTTGCTTTGAAACAACATCAAATATACTCAATAATCTAATAACTTTTTATACAGTTAAGTTCAAATATAGAAGCATCGGAAGAATTTATAGAATGTCGTCGTATTCTTAACTTACTGATGATGGAATGCTGCAGTGTAAGATATTTACCTTTGACCCCAGGTACTCCTCTATCTCCATTAGGTCCAGGTAGACCCTGCTCTCCACTAAAAAACAGTTAGAGTAGACAACAACTTTTTATAAATCAGTTTTTTAAAGTGTCATGAAACAATTTTCACGGTCTAAATTACAATTTTATATTATTTCGGAAATCTTTTAACGACATTTTTAAGAAAAAGACAGTTATTCATAATTATTTCAAATCATTACAAATATTTGTATAATTTACCTTGGACCAGTTGGTCCTTGATGTCCTGGATGTCCTTGACCTCCATAATATCCCTGTAGTCCTGGCGGACCCTGAGCACCATCTTTTCCGTCCTCTCCGGGGGCTCCTAGAGGACCAGGAGGACCTGTCTCTCCTGGAGGTCCAACAGGCCCAACCTTTCCCCACTCACCCACAATTCCCTGCTGACCTATTGGACCTAGGGGCCCGTCAGCTCCGTTAGCTCCGTCCTTCCCTGTTATTCCAGGAGAACCTGGAGAACCAGAAACTCCTCTACTACCATCTTTACCCCGACTTCCAGGGGTTCCAACTATACCTGAAATACATCTTCTATATTAAAATTGTCTTTAAAAATTACATTCAGTGCAATTAAACAAACATACAATGTTTATATCACGCACGTTTTACACATTATAATTGAAAAAAGCTATCGTTAAATACACCTCAAGATAAAAAAAGGTTTTTGTTAAATCCTAGAAATTGAATTTAAATTTTGATCCTTTGTGTTTTTGTATAGCCTTTGTATGACGTATGTGCAAAAAGATCTAAAACTTTCATGATTATATTAACCTGAGTTTCCAGCAAACCCTTGGGGGCCTCGTGAACCTGGTAGACCAGGGGCACCTGGAGAACCATCTCGACCTGGTGAACCACCAGCTCCAGGAGTACCTGGAACTCCAGGTAGTCCTGATTATCAATTATTAGAATTTGGCAACCCTAGTCAATTCGTTAGGAAATTTCCCAAATGGCCAGCGTTAGGAAAATATCCTGGATTTGAATAATTTTGGATAGAAAAACGACGACATCTCCATACTCATAATAAATGACCTTTTAAACAAAAAGTTTAGAAATTACATTTAGTAAATATTCAACTTTTTCAAAAGTATTTATTTAACTTAAATAGTTATTTGTTCTTTTGAACCATGTTTTTTTTACCTTGGCAAGATTGTGTATAGCAGAACCTTTGTTCGGAGGATTCTCCTGAACACTGTTCTCCTTCTCCTTCAACTTGTCGAACTCGAGTTCGAAACCGTCCTTGGCTGCAGGTTGAATCCTCCCTAAGCAAAAATTATAACGTCATTTTATATAAGACGACATTTGTTTTCTGCTGGTGTATTAAATACAACCTCTTAAAAGCAAAGTTTAAAAATAGCATGTTACATTCATATATTGTCTCTCCTTATTCATGCACAGTGTTCCAATAAACATTGTAAATAAGTGATGGCATTAAATGGACTGTAAAGGAAAATTTAATGGGGGTATAGGCTGAAACCTGAGTATCATCTCAGGAGTTGATTGAGAGTTGAGACTTAAAGAAGAGTTCTGTCTGATGTTCTGTTTCGAGAAATTGATTGTGTCAAAATTAAACCAAAATGTATATATTTAAGATTTTGTTAAAATATTCGTGGTATTAAATAGATCATATTCAACAAATACGCAATAGATCTGAAAACAACGATATCCAAGAGGAGTCTTAGAAACTCAAGTTTGCTCCTATTATCATTTGAATTTATTAATGTTTCATTTTTCATAAATATAATTGATATTCTCAGGTTTAAGCCTATACTCCCTTTAATTTTCCTTTACAGTCCCTTTAAAATCGTCTCCTGAAGGTAAAATTCACTCTTCAGGATTATAACTTTTCTTGATTGAAAAGCTTTACTGATTATTGGGACATCTTGTATTTGATAAAAAGGAATGTACAGTGAAACCCTTAATAAAGAATACATCGGAAGAATTTATCAAATGTCGTCTTGACAATTTTTCAATGAGTTTTATACTATTTTACGTAAATTTCAGTATTTGCGAAAATAAATAAATAGCCATGAATATGCGGGAACAGTTTTAAAGAGTTCCATATAATCATTTAATTTATAAACTAAATATCTGCAACATTCCATTATCAGAAAGTGAAGAATACGACATTTGATGAATTCTTTCGATGTATTCGTTATTGAGGGTTTCACTGTAGAAAAAAAGAAATCAAATTAAATCTAATCAAATCAATTCTTTCTGCCTTAAATAATAGAATTAATACAAAATAGGTAGGCATGAGACGACGTTAATGATAAATGTGCTAACTGAAAATAAATTCAAATATTTGTGTTTTAACCTTCTAGCACATGAAGACCATTGTTGCCAAACTCCCCACTGGCAATTCACACTGCAAGGTCCTAGATTGCAGGGTACCACCTATTATACAGAGAATCAATGAATAAATCACACTGCAAGGTCCTATATTGCAGGGAACCACCTATACAGAGAATCAATGAATAATTCACACTTCAAGGTTCTATATTGCAGGGTACCACTTATTATACAGAGAATCAATGAATAATCTACACTGCAAGGTCCTTTATTGCAGGGTACCACCTATTATACAGAGAATCAATAAATAATTCACACTGCAAGGTCCTAGATTGCAGGGTACCACCTATTGTACAGAGAATCAATGAATAATCCACACTGCAAGGTCCTATATTGCAGGCAACCACCTTATATACAGAGAATCAATGAATAATCTACACTGCAAGGTCCTAGATTGCAGGGTACCACCTATTATACAGAGAATCAATGAATAATCCACACTGCAAGGTCCTAGATTGCAGGGAACCACCTTATATACAGAGAATCAATGAATAATCCACACTGCAAGGTCCTATATTGCAGGGAACCACCTTATATACAGAGAATCAATAAATAATTCACACTGCAAGGTCCTATATTGCAGGGTACCACCTATTATGCAGAGAATCAATGAATAATCCACACTGCAAGGTCCTATATTGCAGGGTACCACCTAATATACAGAGAATCAATGAATAAGCCACACTGCAAGGTTCTATATTGCAGGGTATCACTTATTATACAGAGAATCAATGAATAATCCACACTGCAAGGTCCTATATTGCAGGGAACCACCTATTATACAGAGAATCATTGAATAATCTACACTGCAAGGTCCTAGATTGCAGGAACCACCTATTGTACAGAGAATCAATGAATAATCCACATGGCAAGGTCTTGCAGGATATCACTTAATACATATACAAAGAATCAATAAATAATATAATTAAATTTCATGGCAAATGAAATTATGACTCGCATTATTAGTTTTTTAATCCCTATATCTATACAACCAGATGGTGTAACCCTTAGATATAACTATTAACTATTAGATATAATCGTATGTTCACATTTTTGAATATCAGGTATTTACAACATCAGGCTGCAAATATAAGGAATACAAATTAAAGTTAAAGGCGAGTAATCAGTTCCTTCAAGGAATGAATCCAAAACCGGCTTTTTATCAATTGCTGCAATCCATCTTAAGACATAAATCAAAACAAGGGGTAAAGAATTATGTATATGGCCATGTGTATATTAATTTTTCTTTTAACTGTTAAAATTTAAATAAATCTGATTGATTGATTTTTTTACCTGCATAGAGAATGAGGCACATCCATGTGTTTGACTTGGTATCTGTAACTTGAACCCAACACCACAACTGGCACTGAAACAAACACAAATAAAAATATCTTCAAAATATTTTCATTTTATGATTATTTCTACCTGCACTGTGTTTGAACATAACAACCCTTCTCTGGAACGTTTTTCGTCAAACTGTTAGATTGGTAAACAAGGTTTAGAGATACATCTTGGTTGGGTCGGATTGCTTTATTCTCGAATTCTCCGGGTAGTTGGTTTAACAGAGGTTGGTAACTATCTTTTCTTTCATTTGACTTCAACTCAAATCTTGATTGTTTCGGGATAAATTATAAAAATTATTATAACCAACTCAAATGAAAAAAAAAACGACAAGATATAAACTTTGATTATATAAACTTTATAACACATTTTAATGCTCCAGTATATCACAAAGGAGGTTTATTTAATCCAGATTTAGAACGGCTTTAATACTATATGTTATTCATTTGAAATATAATACGATGTTCCATCAAAAAAAATGAATAAATCTGTTTCTTTATGTTTTTTACAGAGCTATTTTAAAATTTATCATTTTCCTCTCTAGATCATCTGTAGGTTTAGATAAATCAATAGGATAATCATCAACGTAGACCCAGTTTAGATCATCTAGATCTTCATTAAGATTGTCAATACGACGATCATTGTGAATTCCAACTACTTCTCGTCCATCAATCAGATTGTAGACTTGATCACTGAAATTGAAATCAAAGAAAGATAAAACTCGCCGCAAGTTTTAGTCTGGTAATCCCTATATCTTTGCAAACTGATGTTGTATATACCTTGGATATTTCAAACTTCGAATGACTTGATGTGGCTTTGCATGGACTAATGTGGAAATTATATATAGGAGATTAAAATGCAGTATAAAGTGGAATTATTTAGGTTTCATTCATAGTTTTGATTAGATGTGCCAGCTTGAGCATTTAACTTTTAATTTATCAAAGGGACATTATCAGAAAAGGAATAATTCAAATACAATAACTCTGAGGCATTTAATTTGGTTTCTACTAGACCGTGATTAATAATTAATTCTATAGTATGTATAATTAATCATCTAATTCAAGCTTTATTAATTTCGTTTTTTTATATTTTAATTAAAAAATGGTTTTTAAAAAGAGAATATCATTTAAGTAGTTGTATAAAATAAACATTGTTTGTTTAAAATATTAACCTATCTACTTGTGGAGTCCACCCACCATAATGAATTTGAGGAGTTTCAAATCCGTACACTATAATCTAGAATTTAGATCATATTACTTTAATGTCTATTTACAAAAATTTAATGATAAACCACAACAAAATGAATTTTTCCATCTCCGTCAATAATTTTTTACATTTTTAAAGATAATCTTCAATTTTCAAATTTTTATATTATATTTATAATTTTAAGAGCAAGCTATTGATATTAAAAATCTAATGAAAATAACATTTAAAAATGTTTTTCTGTAAAATGAATGTGTTCAGCATCTGTGAATATTCGAAACAATTATCCAGGATAAAGGAATTGAGTTTTTGCCACAAATCCCAATTTTGTAATACCCAAATCTCAACAACAAGATGATGCAAACCTTTCATATTTCAAATTTATACTTGTTTGATCCACTAGAATTCATAGTTTGAAATACCTACGTTCTACGACATTTGGTTTTAAAGAAATTGGGATTTAAAAATCCGAGTTTGTGGCAAAGACTCAATTCCTTTATTTATTCTTTTATTTTGAGATTGGTACAATACTATTCTGGGTTCAAGGAAAGATCTATTTCTAAATATTTTATTATTTTTCTGTACATTGTACAGTATACAATGTACAGTGTACATCGTATCTATATATAAATTTGGCTTGTCTGTTTGTCTGTTTGTTTGTTTGTGTCCAATAAACGTCAAAACGGCCAAACATCACGAGACCACAGGGAAGGTTTGTGAATGATACAAATTTTAAAAAATGTGTTTTAAAGGTTTTTAATTTTGTAAAAAATTTAAAATCTTGAAAATCCGCGAATCTTTTTTTAAAAATCCGCAAAATTTTTTTCTTCTTTGTTTTAAAATGTAAACAAAAAGAACATGTTCACAATTTAAATAGAAGATGGGCGCGAAGCGCCCTAAAAGCCTAGAAAGAAGGGCGCGAAGCGCCTTGAATTTCAAGTACTGTACACTTTTCTGTTAAATGATCCTTGACGTAAATGCATGAATCTGATCACTGACCTGAACTAAGCAGAGTAGGGTCTGCAATATTATAAAACAATGGAATCCAGACATTTTATCATCTGAAAACTTGATGAAACTAAATATTTTTTTTGAGTACATCTTGTAAATTAAATTTTTGTTGTTTATGATCAATGACCATGTCGTAGAGCTTAGATTTACTTGAAAAGATAAAGTTATTGACTTGTATTAGTTAGTATTTGTTTAAATGAATTGAACAATCTCTTTACAGTTGTTTTGTTTAATATTAAGTTTCCTATTATAATATTTTATTTTGCAAAATGTATCTGGTGGAACTGTGTCAGTGCAGTGACATCAATATTATTTTATTTGATTTATTGGTTGGTTTTAATAAATTACTCTACATTTCATAAATCAGAAACATACTCTATACCGAATAAAACATGGCATCTAAAATTTATATTTTAAAACGTAGTTATCTCTTTTGGTTGTCCAATCATAACTCATGAACTTCTTGGCTTGATTTGCCCCACATTTTGATTGGAAAACTCGGTTTGAACCACGGAAATGGTTTTCAGTTTTCTCAACTTCTACCAAGATACAAAAAGATTTTTGTAGACTTTGAATACTTGAGACAAGCTCAGTTCTTATTTTTCAGCAACTTTGTCAAAACTTCATTGCATGCTTGTGCAAATTAAATGTGTAAATCAATTTTCAAACCAATCGTATTTATATTTACGCCGTCTATATTTAATAAATATAATAAGCATGAAGAAACAATGCACAATGCACATGATACTGCATACATTTCTTGGTTCACGGCGTGAAATAAAAATATATTCCGTCCATGACAAAGTTACGCGAGAAACTGATTGGAACGCAGAAATATCTGCGTCACCCACTCCCCCCTCTTCTCTTGTTCATCCATCTCTCCCATAGACCCTGATAGATTTCTCCCCCCCCCCCCCAACCAAGGACATTAAATTCAAACAACTGTTAAAAAGTAAGCTCAGAATATCAAGAATTTTTATGTCTGGACGAGCGTAAAAAAACTTAAGAACTAAATTAACTCTTGTCCAATGAAGATCATGAGATTAAGTTTTCAGAAAAAGATGTAAAACAACATTTGTAAATTTTACAGAGATTTTCATGCTAAAAATATTATTCTAAAGAGAAGATAAATTTGAAATAATCAGTAAATCCATGGAATGAAATGAAAAGTAAAAAAAAGCATTTTATCATTTATGTAAATATACCCTCTTTTTCCTGTTTACTGCACTAACTAAAGTACTAGGCGTTTAGGGCGCTTCGCGTCCATCTTCTATTTCAACTCTAAAGTGTGGCTCTATCTGTGAGCATCTTCTCTTTGTAAAATATAAAACCAAAACAAATAAGTTTACAGTTTTGATAATAATTTTTAACAAAAACCAAAAACTTTTGGACACAAATTTAGGTAACTTTAAGCATCCAAAAACCTTCCTTGGGGTCATGTGAGGTCCCACACAAAATGTGGGCCCAATCGTTTCAGTCGTTTTGACGTTTATTAGACACAAACAAACAAACAGAGGTCCAAAGAGACAAGCAAAGTATATACGTAAAACCAGTAAACGTTAAACATCAGGGTCGAGATTATTTATCAATGCTAAATATCTGCAGTGAAAGAATTACAGTTGCATTTAATTTCCTCGCATCGAAAAGTACATAGAATGTTTATAGCGCAGACTAAACAGATCTAGAAACCAGTCAACAACTCGGCTTACCTGCTAAGGAAATAAGGAAGAGACTTTAAAGAAGACTTAAAACTCGTACAATTTGACGGTCCCTAGGTATTTGAACTTTTATTCATGCTGGGGGGGGGGGGGTTATTGGTCTGAGGATGTTAGAATTTTCTGACTTTTCCTAAATACCCGTAGCCCTCCCTTTAGGTGAAGGCTTTGCAACACTTTAAAGTCAACACGGGCATAAACTTTCTTTCATAATTTTTATATTTGTCTGGATCTGAATCTAAAAAACCCTGTGCACTTATGAAGCTAAAGTAAGGGTGTAGCAACTAATCGGGTTCAAAGAAGCGCTTAACATTTTCTATATACTCCTGGCCAGGGTTTGCAGGATCGGTAAGGTCATACAAATTTCGGTATTTATACAGGGTTTCCCACAAAAGATGAGACTTGAGAAACAACTGTACGGAATCAATATTTCTGTCTCCTTATATTCCCTGCAACTGTATCTTTGTTTTTTTCTTTGCCAAATCATGAACACTTTTTCGACTGATGTATTTGTGACAAATATTTTAGGTCAACGTCAGATTAGATAGCTTTTTTGGAAACCTACAGGCAAGCACAATAGATATAAAGCAACTTTTTTCAGCAAATTTTGAATATATGCAATAAAATTGCAACAAATTTGCACAATTTTATTTTTTTCTATTTTGAAATTCCTGCTTTTTTTAGGATCAGAAGGAACAAAAAGTTCACACATAAATATCTTGTTTATTTTGCAAATTTGAAATGATTTGCAAAATTACTGTGTTACTCCTTATATGTATTTTATCAAAGTTGCTCAATATAACTTCAGCTTGAAACAAAAGATTTATTTTTACAAATATGCTTGAAGAATTTTTGCAATATTTTACCACATTTTTTGCAATTATTTTCAAACTAGTATGTTTGCAAATTTTACTAATTCGAACTATTATCAAAAATTCCTGACTTCATCTCTGAGGCACTTACCTTAGTTTCACTCTAAAAAAGGTGCTCTAGCGCGCGGAGCTCTTTACAAGCTGCAATAGGGGTTCTCTAAAAGAGGTGTATAAACGGTGCACCTCAAATCACTCTGCTCGGTGCCCCTAATGGTGTCATCTCAATCGCATAACTTTATTTCGCCGCAGAAAATCCGTTTTTGGAGAATCGTAGTTCCGTTTTTCGAACTCCGCGACATGATAAACGGTTCACCTTTTGTTCTCCATTCCTGGTATTTTTTCTTGCTGCATGGGGATCTCATCTTTCTCATACTTCTCATCCTTTTCTTCCTTCTCTTCCTTCTCTTCCTTCTCATCTTTTTCATCCTTCTCCTCCTTCTCATCCTTATCATCCTAGTAATCCTTCTCATCCTTCTCATCCTTCTCATCCTTCTCATCCTTCTCATCGTTCTCACCCTTCTTATCCTTCTTATCTTTCTCCTCCTTCTCATCCTTATTATCCTACTAATCCTTCTCATTCTTCTCATCTTTCTCATCTTTCTCATCTTTCTCATCTTTCTCATCCTTCTCATCCTCCTCATCCTTCTCATCTTTCTCATCTTTCTCATCTTTCTCATCTTTCTCATCCTACTCATCTTTCTCATCTTACTCATTTTTCTCATCTTTCTCATCTTTCTCATCTTTCTCATCCTTCTCATCTTTCTCGTCTTACTAATCCTTTTCATTCTTCTCATCCATTTTAACTTTCTCATCTTTCTCATCCTTCTCATCCTTCTCATTCGTCTCATCCTTCTCATCCTTCTCATCCTTATCATCCTTCTCATCCTTCTCATCCTTCTCAGCTTTCTCATCTTTCTCGTCTTTTTCATTCTTCACATCTTTCTCATCCTTCTCATCTTTCTCATCTTTCTCGTATTTCTCATCTTTCTCATCCTACTCATCTTTCTCGTCTTACTAATCCTTCTCATCCTTCTCATCCATTTTAACTTTCTCATTCTTCTCATCCTTCTCATTCTTTTCATCCTTCTCATCTTTCTCATCTATCTTAACTTTCTCATCCTTCTCATCCTCCTCATCCTACTCATCTTTCTTATCTTACTCATACTTCATATCTTTCTCATCTTTCTCATCCTACTCATCTTTCTCGTCTTACTAATCCTTTTCATTCTTCTCATCCATCTTAACTTTCTCATCCTTCTCATTCTTCTCATCCTACTCATCCTTCTCATCCTTCATATCCTTGTCATCTTTCTCATCTTTCTCATTTTTCTCATCCTACTCATCCTTCTCATCTTACTTATACTTCTTATCTTTCTCATCCTTCTCATCTTTCTCATCATTCTCATCCTTCCTTCTCATCCTGATCATCCTTTTCTTCCTTCTCTCCCTTCTTATCCTTCTCATCCTTCTCATCCTTCTCATCCTTCTTATCTTTCTCATCCATCTTAACTTTATCATCCTTCTCATTCTTCTCATCCTTCTCATTCTTCTCATCCATCTCCTCCTTCTCATCTTTCTCATCCTTCTCATCCTTCTCATCCTTTTCATCCTTCTCATCCTTCTCATCCTTCTTTTCCTTCTTTTCCTTCTCATCCTTCTCATCCTTCTTTTCCTTCTCATCCTTCTCATTCTGCTCATCTTTCTCATCCTTCTCATCTTTCTCATCTTTCTCATCTTTCTCATCCTACTCATCTTTCTCATCCTTCTCATCTTTCTCATTCTTCTCATCTTTCTCATCCTTCTCATCTTTCCCATCTTTCACATCTTTCTCATCTTTCTCATCCTTCTCATTCTTCTCATCTTTCTCATCCTTCTCATACATCTCACTCTATGCTCATTCGACCTTATCGAATATTGTATCTTATTCCTTGAATGTTTAGCTTCTCAATAACCTCATGAACGGGGACCCTTACACCGAGTAGCTGGGCCTTAATACATCCAAAATAAGTCGACCTTGTAAAGTAGGTCTATATAAACACACACACACTCACACTACCCTAATTTCAATGTTAAAGGTAAAATCAGACTAAAATAGCTTCAGCGGGATAGAGTTAATTAAAGGAATTAGACATCAAATCAAAATAAATTTGGCTAATATATTATTTCATATTTATTAATTAAAAATTATAAATAAATAATACTGATTAACATAATAATAATTAAGTTTGGATCATCTGTCCCTGGTTCATTTAGACTAAACTACTGTCCGCAGTGTTCATCTAGACTAAACTACTGTCCGCAGGGTTCATCTAGACTAAAATACTGTCCAGGGGGTTCATTTAGACTAAACTACTGTCCACGGGGTTCATCTAGACTAAACTAAAGTCCGCAGGGTTCATCTAGACTAAAAACTCGGACTCATGTCTAGACAGGCCTGGGCCTGGGCCTGGAAGGTCCTGGGTTTCTAAGTCCAAGGAATTGAAAGAAGGAGATATTGCTGGGACGGTGTTTCCTCAGAGCTTTCCTCCCAGTTCGGGAGGATTGTCTCTTCACCAGATTATGGGTGCTCTCGGATTTATCTAAAAAAAATATTTTAAAAATCTTCAAAGGAATTAATATAATCAAATTTTCTAATTCCTAAGTCTTCTCAACCTGATGATGGTGCAAACCGTTAATATTTCAAACTATTAGTTCTAAATGATCAAATGAAATAAGCATGAAAATCAAAGGTTCACACCATCAGGTTGCAAAGATATAGCAAAGATTCAATTCCTTTGTATTTAAAAGTTAATTTTGATTTAAACTTAAAGGGAGTGACCGCCTATGTAAGGTAGTTGAACTGAGTATGCAGTGTTGTGGAAAACTTCTTTCGGATTCATTTGAGACATATAAAACTTTTTAAAGATCTGTAAATCCTGAGTTTGGGCGTAAATTCGACGTTCAAAACTCAAACATTGGGGGAGGATACGTTTTCAGAATTAGTTTTTTTTAAATATTAAATAACGACGACATAAAATGAAAAAAAGTTCTACAATTAACTACAGAACTCATGCATAGGAACATGTTGAAAAAATAAAAATTAATCTTATCATCGAAAATAAGTAATCTTGTACAATTATTAGTTTCTATTTTCTCATTATTCACAAAGATTTTCGCAGATTTTTTAGAATTTTTATTGAAAAGACGACATTTGAAAAATTTGAAGAAATCTGCGAATAAATTCAAAGAAGTTAAGAAATTCAATATAATAATGAAAACGAAATAATCGAAAACTGTTCCTAACCATATAATTAGATTACTGTATAATTTTTACTTCATTTTTCGTTGTCGTTATTTAATAATTTAAAAAAACTAAATATGAAGACGTATCCACCCCCAAAGTAGGAGTTTTGAACGTCGAATTCGCGGTCACTCCCGTTAAGTTTCTAATAACCGTATCAGATTCAGACCCTCTTACAAAGCATTATTTATAAATTATAAAATACAATCACATTTTTTTATTAAATATAATTTTTATATTTTAAATGGAAACATTTATAATAATTTGAAAATTGTCTTTGATTTCTGAATGTTAATGAATGGACTAGATTTTTTTCTGAGGTCTTTCCTTTAATCTTTATAAATGGCGGAAAAATGCAGCCTCAATAATTTTGATTTTACTAACTAGATAGCAATCTAGACGGATATTTTAGTTTTTCCGCCAATTAAAAAAAATAGAATATTTAAATCCAGAAATGTTTACCTATATATTTAAATCCAGAAATGTTTACCTACATATTTATATCCAGAAATATTTACCTAATTATTTAAATTCAGAAATGCTTACCTGTATATTTATGTTCAGCAGAAATGTTCACCTATATATTTATATCCAGAAATGTTTACCTATATATTTAAATCCAGAAATGTTTACCTATATATTTAAATCCAGAAATGTTTACCTATATATTTAAATCCAGAAATGTTTACCTATATATTTATATCCAGAAATGTTAACCTATATATTTATATCCAGAAATGTTTAACCTATATATTTATGTCCAGAAATGTTTACCTATATATTTATGTTCGGCAGAAATATCGATATCGCGAGCAACTCTGAAATTAGAATAAACTTATATTTTTATATCATATCTTAATATTTAATCAATGGAAATAAAGCATATAATAAGATATTCTGCAACTAAAATGTGTTCAGACGACCCTAAAAAGGATTAATTCTTTTCTTTTCCTGTTTTGTCTGAATTGCACACATCCACGAGTCACATTTACATACAAATCGGAATACAAATTGCGAAATTTCACATGGAAAACCACGAATAAAATCCGATTGGTTAACTCTTTAAATCAAGATTCAAGGGTCACAAGAAATTACATCGACACTATCTTCAATGTGATTTGGAATGAAAAATTAACAAAAATGATGAATAACATGGCCGACAGAAAAAAAATAATATTACCTTTCTAACCCCTGAGCTTGTCCTTGAATGCTGGATGAAACATGATTTAGAACTCGAGCCTACAAAATTAAAATTAATTAATAAAAATATTTATGGATATAAAATTTGTAACCTTTAATTTTATTTTTATTTTAATGATTTTAAATGTATTACCTGAATCATGAGTACTGAGCTCAGTACAAGTAGAAGGTATATCTGAACCCTCATTGTGATTTTGTGAGGTTCAGCCTGAAAATAAAAAATTCTAATGCAATTTTTATGTTTTTAGCACGTTTTTTTGCAACTCTTCACCAGCTTTTCCCAAAAAAACATTTTAAAAAATTATGAAACTGTAAAAATGTAACTATTCATAAAAAGTAAAAAGATGCTACCGGATGCTTTGTAAATATTCTGGACGTTCTGTATTTAAGCCTGGGTTTCAAATATTTTCTATGCTGTATAAATCTTTAGGAAAGAACAAAAAATTTTAAAAATCACCTAAAAAATATTCTTCCAAATGATAAGAAAAGGGTGAATGGATTACTTTGAATTTCTTTTCTGAAAGAGTAGTTCTCTGGTTTCAACATATTTCAGAAACCGCTGATTTTTCGGATGAAAAGTTTTCTTAAATAAAAATCTGTTTAAATAAAGCCGACAACTGACCTGAAGTATTGATGTAAGCTGTAGTAAGGTTTACTCTGGAATATAGAGAAGGGTACCTCTCTGCGCCTATTTATACTCAAACCTCTCTGCACCTATGTATACTCAAACGGTAACCATAAATCTTGCGCACTGTGCAGTGTGCAGGAGACATGCGTTCTACAGTGGCAGTTTAAAAATGCGCAAAATGATGTTCAGAAATAAAAAAATGTGTAGTGTAAATAGTAAAGGAAGAACGCGAGGGAAGGTTTTAGGTGATGTCATTTTTAAATTTTGTAAAGGGTTTGGTATTTTCTCGACAAAAAAGGTTTTTTTTTCTACGTCAAACCAAAATAAGTTGTCCGTAAAATTGAATTCTTATGTGTTTTCAAACATAGCTCCTCTTATTAAAGAGCTATTGAGAAGAACAAAAAATGTTTTTGAATTCTTATATTCAGCATAACGGGATAGATTTGTTTTTCTAGTAGAGGAGATACGACATCGCAAAGTCGTGCCAGAACTCTCGTTTTTATATTTGACCTTCTCCTTCCGTCTTATTTGCAGTGATCATTCCGTGAGTGATATTTCTTTTGAAAAATTTTCGTTGAAGAATAAAATATAAATTCCATTGAAAATTCCATTCCGAAAAGACACAAAGGTAAAGATATAATTTCTAAATTTTTTTAATCGAGTCATGATATATTTAAATTCACAAACGAAATCAGGAAAGTGTGAGAAATTATTGTTTAATAATGAACCATGGACAATGTACAAAGTGATAAGTAAATCTTAAATTAGAATCAAACTAGCTAGACCTCCTAGAACTAGAAGAAAAAAGTCAAACTCATCAAACTCAGAAATTTATTTTATATTGTGATTTCTGAATAAAAATAGAAAAATGTGTTTAAATAAATGTGTTATTTTATTTTAGTTATGAAAAGCCCAAAAAGTTTTCACACTTAAAAATCCCACCCCCCTCTCTCTCTATTCAAAATATCTTATTAGCTTTTTCCAATTTGAGACAAAACACCATGGATTTCCGGAGATTTTTTTTATTAATATTTTGCACAACCCATCCTTTTTTATAGTATTGTTGGCCAAGATATGTCTACCTATATTCCATATCAAATATACTTTATCTATGATCGATCTTAAAATATGAAATTTCTATTTGTCCATGTGATCAAGGACTGTGTTGGGATCTTGAAAACAGGTTTTGAATCTGAAATCTCATCTTGTATAGTCCTCTATCCTTTATCAACTATTATTACATTGTTCATCTGACAGGTTGCCCGCTGTACTATCCGTACTATTCTAGGTTAGTACTATCCGGACTATTCTAGTTAGTACTATCCGGACTATTCTCGGTTAGTACTATCCGGACTATTCTAGATAGTACTAGCTATTCAACTATCCGGACTATCTACTTAGTACTAGTTAGTACTATCCGGACTATTCTAGATAGTACTTATAGTTAATCAACTATCCGGACTATTCTAAGTAGTACTAGTTAATCAACTATCCGGACTATCTAGTAAGTACTAGCATAGTACTATCCGGACTATTCTAGTAAGTACTAGTTAATCAACTATCTGGACTATTCTAGATAGTACTAGTTAATCAACTATTTGGACTATTCTAGAACTTACTAGTTAATCAACTATCCGGACTATTCTAGTTAGTAATAGTTAATCAACTATCCGGACTATTCTAGTTAGTACTATTTAGTACTATCCGGACTATTCTAGATAGTACTAGCTAGGTAACTATCAGGACTATTCTAGTTGATACTAGTTAGTCAACTATCCGGAATATTCTAGTAAGTGCTAGTTAGTCAACAATCAGGACTATTCTAGTAAGTGCTAGTTAGTCAACTATCAGGACTATTCTAGTAAGTACTAGTTAGTACTATCCGGACTATTCTAGTTAGTACTAGTTAATCAACTATCCGGACTATTCTAGTTAGTACTAGTTAATCAACTATCCGGACTATTCTAGTTAGTACTATTTAGTACTATCCGGACTATTCTAGATAGTACTAGCTAGGTAACTATCAGGACTATTCTAGTTAATACTAGTTAATCAACTACCCGGAATATTCTAGTTATTACTAGTTAGTACAGTCAGGACTATTCTAGATAGTACTAGTTAATCAACTATCCGAACTATTCTAGTTAGTAGTTAGTACTAGCTAGTCAACTATCCGGACTATTCTAGTTAATACTAGTTAATCAACTATCCGGAATATTCTAGTTATAGTAGTTAGTCAACTATCAGGACTATTCTAGTAAGTACTAGTTAGCTAGTCAACTATCAGGACTATTCTAGTTATTACTAGTTAATCAACTGTCCGGAATATTCTAGTAAGTACTAGTAAGTACAATTAGGACTATTAGTGTTAGTACTATTCTAAATAATACTAGTTAGTCAACTATCCGGACTATTCTAGTTAGTACTAGCTAGTCAACTATCCGGACTATTCTAGTAAGTATTAGTTAATCAACTATCCGAACTATTCTAGTTAGTACTAGCTAGTCAACTATCCGGACTATTCTAGAAGTACTAGTTAATCAACTATCCGAACTATTCTAGTTAGTACTAGCTAGTCAATTATCCGGACTATTCTAGTTAATACTAGTTAATTAACTATCCGGACTATTCTAGTTATTACTGATAAGTACAATCAGGAAAATTAGTGTTAGTACTAGTTGATCAACTATCCGGACTATTCTAGTTAGTACTAGCTAGTCAGCTATCAGGACTATTCTAGTTAATACTAGTTAATCAATTATCCGGAATATTCTACTTAATACTAGTTATAGTACTATCCGGACTATTCTAGTTAATACTAGTTAGTCAACTATTCGGACTATTCTAGATAGTACTAGCTAGTCAACTATCAGAACTATTCTAGTTAGTACTGGTTAATCAACTATTCGGACTATTCTAGATAGTACTAGCTAGTCAACTATCAGGACTATTCTAGTTAGTACTAGTTAGTACTATCCGGACTATTCTAGTGAATATTACTAGTTAATCAACTATCCGGACTATTCTAGTTGACTAGCTAGTCAACTATCCGGACTATTCTAGTTAGTGCTAGTTATTACTATCCGGACTATTCTAGATAGTACTAGCTAATCAACTATCAGGACTATTCTAGTTAGTACTAGCTAGTCAACTATCAGGACTAATTTTAGTTATTACTAATAAGTTACTATCAGGAGTATTCTCGTTAATACTAGTACGATCCAAAATATTCTAGTTTGTACACTGATATCTAGACACCTAGCTCTAAAACTTAGTCATCAAATTTTTGGACATTCTCGACTTTAAAGTGTCGGAACGCTTTGACCTTAGGTTTTTCTTCACAAACTCACTTATACTTTTTTGTAGCCGTAGACATATACATTTTAAATATGGAATTTTTTTTTCCTAGCTTAAGATTAAAAATAGGAATTGGCAAACGACCTCTCGATTTGTGTGTGAAAGCGTGCACATCTTAGTTTGCAGTGAGCCAGTGAGTACTGGATAGGAGTCAACTATCATCATCCAATACTCAACCAGATAGTGAGTACTAGATAGGAGTCAACTATCATCATCTAATAATCAACCAGATAGTGAGTACTAGATAGGAGTCAACTATCATCATCTAATACTCAACCAGATAGTGAGTACTAGATAGGAGTCAACTATCATCATCTAATACTCAACCAGATGGTGAGTACTAGATAGGAGTCAACTATCATCATCTAATACTCAACCAGATAGTGAGTACTAGATAGGAGTCAACATTCATCATCTAATAATCAACCAGCCTGTGAGTACTAGTTAGGAGTCAACTACCATCATATAATACTCAACCAACACTAAAATTAACGGTATAAGTCCATTCAAAGCTACGTTTAAATATGAGGATTGAGGATAAGATAACGTTTTTTCTGATACAGTGAGAACCAAAAAATTGTGGGATAAATGTTGTTTTTTTCTTTCTATGGTTTGAGATATATCTCTTAGGACTTTGTCAGTTGCAACTGCTGCAATTTATAAATAAAAAGATTTAAAGGAAAAAGTGTGCACGACAATTCCACTGTTTTCTGGTTCCCAACTTCCCACAGTACAATTTTAAAGATATTTTGAAGACAATAATAAAACTGTCGATTATTACTTAAATTATATTTTAACAGTCTGACTGCCATGAGACATATCAAATGTGCAGTGTAAACTGACAAACGAACTGGGTCTTTGCCACAAGAATCTATTTTTCTCTCTAAATCTTTGCAACCTGATGGTGTAAACCTTTGATATCTTAAACTTAGATTATTTAATCTGAAATAATTCATAGTTTAAAAAATTTAATGACTACGACATTGGGTTACAAAGATGTAAGGATTAGAAAACCAGAGTTTGTGTCAAAGTCTCATTTTTTCTTCCCAGATAAGTGGATTTTAAAAGTTTACAGTAAAACCATTTGTTTTTTTAGCAGCTTTAAATACATTTCATTATTGATTTATTTTCGTCATCCTATTTCATAGTTTTCTAGTTTTCACTGTAATTAAAGACATTATTTTATCTTCATCCTTTTTGAGTTCATACATTTTTAACAAAAAATCTGTGAACATTTGTTTGTGGTGCTGCAGAATACCATGAAAACTTGTTGATAGAAAGGGGGCGCGGTGCGCCCTAGAAGCTTTTGATAGCTATATAAGATACTTTAATATATAATCATCGGCATAGTCCCCCCCCCTTCCTTCTCCATTAACCCGTTTGGGGCCCCCCCTGTAGTTTTTTCGTCCAAGCACTCTCTTATTTTTAACACTATCACCGTGAAATTTTGTGACTTTTAATGAATAGTAATTAACAGGATTTTTTGTCAAAAAATTATTTTTTTTATTTAAAGGGTAGGGTACAGGGCGGAAAAAAGTCCGGTCTGTGAAAAATAAAGCAAATATAGCCCATAACTTTTTTGTGACTGAAGCTCCAGATCTAAAAAATATATTTTTGAAAAGCCCTTGAAAAATGTATGTAGAAACATTTGTCACACTTTGATATTTCTTTAAAACAAAAAAAAAATATTTCTTTCATTTTTTTACCCTTTTTTAGGCATCTTTTTCCACCCTCCCTTGTACCCAAACTATTAAAGTTATCGGTCTAAATTTTTTTCTTTGAGCTGGCCGTGAAAAATTGGGCTGTGAACATGCATTTCAACCCTAAACCTATTTCTCTGAGGCCTTTTTCTAGGTGGGGGGGGGCGCCAAGCGCCCCCCCCTAGGCAGTACATAGATTCAGACCCCCCCAGCCTTTATAGTGTTAAATAGGCCCCTGGCAACGATTTTGTACCCTCCCATCCATTATGTTTCTCAAAACAAGATGATATGACATTCCTCTGCTGCGGTAGAAAACGTGAGTTAGCCTTTGCAGGTAAAATCCGGATATTTCCAGAAGGAGGGCTGCCTTAATATACAGTTATCGTCAATGAAATTTGAAATGGAGGTCGTCTTTTTTCTTTCTTTAGATCAAGAATGCCGCATATGAGTTTGTAACTTTTAAACTGATATTTAGATGTCCAGAGGTCGGAACTATTATGTGGGTCACCGTTAATCTTGAACACTTAATCTCAATATCCAAAGTGAGCTCTTTTAACTTTTAGGAAAAATTCTTGATCCCTTAATTAAAATTATTTTTGCAGGGTATAACCATCACAGGATATCGCTGAGAACTCAAATTAATCTGTAGGTCTGCATACGATAGAGATTAATCTGTAGGTCTGTATACGAGATTAATCTGTAGGTCTGTATACGATAGAGATTAATCTGTAGGTCTGTATACGATAGAGATTAATCTGTAGGTCTTTATACGATAGAGATAAATCTGTAGGTCTGTATACGATAGAGATTAATCTGTAGGTCTGTATACGAGATTAATATGTAGGTCTGTATACGAGATTAATGCTTGATCCAGAGATTAATAATACAAAAATTTTGACTTCGTGGCACACTTTCATAGATTTAACAGTTTCAAATTACAAAATCCGTAGTGAATTGTGAAATATCTATTTATGAAAAAGAGCTAAGACGACATTCGCACTTATTTTTTTTAGATATCACTGTGTCATTATTAAGACACGGGTTTAATCAATTATCCTTTAATCGTTACCCTGGCTGACTAAAGGAAATTCAAATACACATAGTAAATATTCAATTTTTAAATGAAATATAGTTAAAAAACATTTTTGCGTTTTTTGTAAAATTTACGTTCAAAATATACTTTGTTGCATACTAGAAATATGACAACATTTCTAAATTTATTTTCTAATAATTGCAGATCCATACATAAACTGTAACTTTGTAAGTACATAGGCACTTTAAAATATTAAAACTAATGATGTAAAAGACTTTTTCTCAGTCTTATTTTTCCGCTGTTTTCAAAAAAGTTAAATTTTACTTTTACTTTAAAATCTCTGTTATATTTGGGTTTATCCTAAGGGTCTGTAAGCTGGGTTAAAAAAACTGAATTGACACGCTAGGGCTCGATTCCTTTTTTTGTTTAACAAGCCAGTCTATAATACTTTTTTGGGATAAGAAGAAAATGAAAGCTCTTGTTTGATCTTAGATTAGTAAAGATTGTTTTCACGGGGACAGGCGAATAAAATAAAATGAGACATTATGAAGACTTTGTTTTCTCTTTCACTTTAGCTTTAAATAAAAAGCATAAGGAAGATGATGCTTTTGAGGCTTCAGGTCTCATTATAAAGTTAATTATTTGCAAATATTCCTGCAGCATTATGTAGTTACAATTTGAAATATTCCTGCAGCATTATGTATTTACAATTTGAAATATTCCTGCAGCATTATGTAATTACAATTTGAAATATTCCTGCAGCATTATGTAGTTACAATTTGAAATGTTCCTCATTAAAATTTGTCACAGCTTCATGAAAACAACGAAGTTCTTGCTGTAGAAGATAATCAACATGCTTATCCTCAACAGGTTCTTCTCTTTCTTCTCTTCCTTCTCTTTCTTCTCTAGATTTACTTGTCCATCCTGTACTCTCCATTCTTTCCTCTCCATCAACACTCTAGATAGAATATTATTAAGAAGGAAAAGACGTTAAACTTTATTTTAGGAAATTTTCTGAGATTTTTTTAATGAGTCTACTCTTCCCGGCTCTTCTTCTACTCTTTTCATCTGGGAGTAAATGCTGAAAGTACTCTCATTACCTAGTTTACCTATATACTCCTTGTATCTGGAAGTAGATAAGTACTCCCACCTACTTTAACTGTATACTCCTTGTATCTGGGAGTAGTTGACCGTACTCCCATCTGGCTTACCCATATACTCCTTGTATCTGGGAGAAGATGAGTACTCCCATCACCTAGTTTACCTGTATACTCCTTGTATCTGGGAGAAGATGAGTACTCCAACCTAGTTTACCTGTATACTCCAATTGCATCTGGGAGAAGATGAGTACTCCCACCTAGTTTACCTGTATACTCCTTGTATCTGGGAGAAGATGAGTACTCCAACCTAGTTTACCTGTATAGTCCAATTGCATCTGGGAGAAGATGAGTACTCCCACCTAGTTTACCTGTATACTCCTTGTATCTGGGATAAGATGAGTACTCCCACCTAGCTTACCTGTATACTCCTTGTATCTGGGAATTGCATCTGGGAGAAGATGAGTACTCCCACCTAGTTTACCTGTATACTCCTTGTATCTGGGATAAGATGAGTACTCCCACCTAGCTTACCTGTATACTCCTTGTATCTGGGAGTAGATGATGAAAGTACTCCAGACTGGTTGCATCTGAGCCTCGAGATAATCTAAAAATACGAGATCAGAAATATGCAATTATCAGAAAAATATGTTTACCCGAACTGGGCCCTAATCTAATAAAATTAAACTGTGTCGCTGAAACACCTATTGCCCGGTTCAAATTTAAACCACTGCACCGCACAAATTCAAAGTTTAAGCATTTTTTGTATATTAAGGATTATTTAAAGTATCAGCTACACTCATCATTTTAATATATAAATAAGGATTATATTTCAGAATATATTTCAGGATTAAGGAATATATATTTGTATACTATAGTATTGAACGTTATTTAAACTATATTCATGTACTATGTATGTTCTGTGTACTATATTTAATATTTATGTACTAATGTTATGTATTTACTGTGTACTATATATAGATATATATATATATATGTACTATAGCTATGAATTCTCTGTATACTACTTCTATGTACTATTGTTATGCATGTACTGTGTATTTTATCTATGATCTAATATTAGACATGTACTGCAGTACTATGTACCTGTTATGATCTCTAGTTTCACTAAGGGTTCTGTCTAGAAGTCTATTACAGGAAAAACTAGGTTTAACTCGAACTCGAGATCTGTACACCTAAACATTTAACATTTTTTGTAAAAAGGATAAAAAGTAGAAAAAGAAGACACAAGATTTTATGGATTAGCATAAAAAAGCAATCTTCTTCTTAAAAAGTCAATGTACCGGGTGTCCCAGAAAACAAAATAATTTATCTTTACTAAAATTAAATTTAGAATTTTTCAATTCCTAAGAAAAATTATCACTTTTAGCATGAAAGTTTTGATCATGTATTCCTATGAAGACGACTTTTAAATATGTTTTCCTAATATTCCATTAAAATCATCACCATACTAAATTAAAATTTGTTTAACAAAGACTATGATCAAAATTCGTTCCCTCAATTCCCATGTTTATTGGGACACCTATTTATATGGGAGATACTGCAGTAAATATACCTGATTATTATTTATTAATTCTTGACTTGAAGGTCTTGTCTTATAGTTGGGAGGAATATACGAATTTTGAGAGAGATGGGAAACTGTTTGGGAAGGAGGAAGGGAGGGAGCTTGTGATGACAAGGAAGGTGTTTGGGAAGGTTTTTGGTAATGTAAAGATGGGGGAGCGTAGACTGGGGGCGGAGGAAGGATATCGAGAAGGTTAGGATTAGATTTCCTATATCTGTTCGGAGGATGATGAACTCCGGCATAGATCTCCTAAATCAGGAGAATCAGATTTAATAATTAATAATTTAAATCTTTCAAGGGCAGCCCGGGGAATAATTTTAAATTGTGAACAAACGCCATTTTGTAAACCATAAAAATGCTTTAAATCTTTGATATTGTCAACTATACTGAGCTGTCCTTAAACGTCAGAGTAAAATTTAAAATACATAATTGAAAAATGTTGATCTACCTGACCCCTTTATATATTTAAATAAAAGTAGGATCATGTTGACCTACCTGACTGCTTGATTTATATATATATATATATATATATAAATATTTAAAAGTAGGATCATGTTGACCAACATGACTTCTTGATATATATATATATAAATAGTATCTAACCTGTCTGCTGGAATTTAAATTATCAAAGCTTTGACTCTCTCTTGCAAAACGTCTGCCGTGTGCCCCTTCCTAAAATATTTTTAACTGTTAGTTTACATTTTATTATAGATATTCGTTTACAACATTTTTAAGAAAAAATCTAAAAGTTTTTTTTTCTGCTTTATAATTTTTTTCATAAAATTTACTCATTTTGAAATAAGGGTGCGTGAGCCTGATAAAAAGAGAACAATATTGAAGACTGAAATAAAACTGTGGACTTACTGAAAGAAGCAATTTACGCAATCTCGTGTGTGTTAAATGTTGTTACCAGGAAATGGTAGCTTGAATCAAGTTATTAAACAAAATGAGTCTGTGCACAATGCACAATACAATTAAAACCAGAACATCAGTCAAACAGTCGCCTTCAATTCCACAGTTTATGGATTTCACTGTGTTGTGTTACGTGTGCCCGGCATTGACGTAATTTCACAAGGATTCACAAGGATACCATTTATACCTTGTGCCTGAGTAAAACGAATATCTTTGTTTAATATTTTAATTTGCTGTTTCTTGATATGATAAGAGTAAACTGCGGATATATGTATCAGAGAGGCAAGTAAGGAAATTAATCTCTTAGAAAAATGACTTTATCTTTCTCATACAGTGAAACCCTTAATAACGAATACAAGAATTCATCAAATGTCGTATTCTTCACTTTCTGATAATGGAATGTTGCAGATATTTGGTTTTTTAATTAAAGATTATATGGAAACTGTTCCCGCATATTCATGGCTATTTATTTATTTTCGCAAATACTGAAATTTTCGCAATATAGTATAAAACTCATTGCCAAAATGTCAAGACGACATTTGATAAATTCTTCCGATGTATTCGTTATTAAGGGTTTCACTGTAGTTACTCAGATAAAGGTTTAAAGATAAATATTATGTTTGTTGTATGGTTTATTTTAGCTTAATATCTCACCTTTTTAGACTTGTTCCAGAGTAGAGGAGGGATTCCAAGCTGACAGACTAAGCTCTGGAAAATAGAAATAGATTTAAAGCACCATGTACGTATATATATTAAGGGTGGAACATAGTAAATGTATATACATCTGCTAAATTCGACACGTGTAAACTGTAAAATTATGAAAGACTTCACATAAAGAATTTGCCGTGTACGCCATGCAGAGTTGGGTAAGGGGCCGATTAATTGCGTTATAAAACAGATGTAGCATAAACAAAATTATTGATCTCTGCAGTGTGCGGAACTAAAAAGTTGCAAAACAATACCTTATTATTATTTTCTCTGTACGCTTGTTCAAGTAAATCTGTGGTTGCGTAGGGATTTTCAAATCTACGCTGAAACCCTGTTTGTCTCTCTAACTGTCTGTCAGACACAATGCTCAGCTGTCCGTTGGATAAACAGCTGTTTTGTCTGTTTTCTTTATCACTCTGTTTGTCTTGATGATGGTTGAAATGTCGGCTTCCAAATTCTGCTTCAGAATCAGGCCTGAATACAATATATCATTACACAACGTAATGGATATATTTAGGGGGTGGGGGACTTAAATTTTATGTGAAGAAATTTTTTTCTTACCTTGAGTAAATGCTAGGGAGAAGTTTTTTATCTGAGGAAGTTGAATCTTTCTCATAATCAGAGGAATTCCACCCTCTTTCCTTCTCCCCCCCGAGCCCTATAGAGACCCCCCATCCTCTCTCCTTCTCCCCCCATCCTCTCTCCTTATTCTCCCACCCTCTCCCCTTCTCTTTTGAGTCCCAGGTTCTATGCCCCCAAGCTCCTTGCTTCTCCTAAAAATAAAAACATGAATAGTCATACAAATTGTTATATGTTGAAGTTAAATACAAAGTATACATGTCGTCTTCTTTTGTCTAGTTCTCTGTTTTGCTGTTCTTCACTACACTGCCAAAAATGTCGTCTTCTTTAAAAACATTATTTGGTTTGTTAACTGAGTTGAAAGTGTGTATTCTTCTAATGCGTTGGTCTAGTTTGTTATCTGATAAATAAATATGCCCCGGAAGCAGTTAAATATATATTCAAGGATTATCTTTTATGTTACCTGATAACTATAAATATCTCCAGGGTCAGATAAATATCGTCTTCTCTTTAAATATTATCTAATATGTTACCTGATAACTAAAATATCCCCAGGATCAGACAAATATCTCTTTAAAGATTATCTAGCATGTTACCTAATAACTATAAATATCTCCAGGATCAGATAAATATCTCTTTAAAGAATATCTAACATGTTACCTGATAACTATATATATCTCCAGGATCAGATAAATATCTCTTTAAAGAATTTCTAACATGTTACCTGATAACTATATATTTCTCCAGGATCAGATAAATATCTCTTTAAAGAATATCTAACATGTTACCTAATAACTATATATATCTCCAGGATCAGATAAATATCTCTTTATATAATATCAAACATGTTACCTGATAACTATAAATATCTCCAGGGGCAGATAAATATCGTCTTCTCTTACATTCACTTTTCCGCCATCTAAAACATTTAATACATTGTAAATTGTTAATTTAGTTCATCGCTTGATAGATTTTTTTTACAAATTATTTTTTTTCGCTGAAAGGTTTGGGCAATATTATTTAATTATAATATGTGCATGTTTTTCTTACCTGTAATAAAACATAACAGACCCTAACAGAACCAATATAAAAGTCAGGGACCCTAAAATATAATAATTAAAAAAAAAAATAAAAACTGCTGATTGAAGATGGCAAGGGGATATCCCCCTAATAATGGAAAATTTATATATTTTAAAACAGAAAAGCATGAATTACTACACAGGAATTTAGTCTTTGCCACAAACTCAAACTTTATAATCCTTATATCTTTGCAACCATATTATGTAAACCTATGATATTTCAAACTTAGAATATTTGATCCAACATATATAATAGTTATATCTAAGGTTTACAACATTGGGTTGCAAAGATATTGGGATTAGAAAATTTGAGTTTGTGACAAAAACAAGGTGAATTGCATANCATCCCAACATCTTTAATCCACAATATTGTACGCCACCTCTGTATGCATATTTCTTTGAAATTAATTTATTAGACATAAAGCGTATGTAAGAATGGAAATTTACTAATCGTTTTTCTGACTTTAAAAGTTTTTATTTTTGTGAGTTTCTTGTTTCACAATTATTTCTTAAGCAAGAAATGCGCAAGTCATTTTCGCAGAGAAACCACAAATGAAAATAAACAGTTTAAGAAAAAAACATCTACTTTATACTTGAAGTAGTTATCAATAATAGCTACATAATTATACCTATAAGTGCGATAAGCCAGGCAGCCCCCTCAAGTTTATCATTTGCTGCATCAGGTTGGTTAATTGTTATAGGTAAACCTAAATACCAATATATTAAAATAGAAAATAAAAACATTGATATTCACATTAAAAAGTGTTAAAATTACTGTTAATAAGTTTTTTAAAAAGTTTCATATTTTCTTTATTTCGTTGCATTCAACCATTTTCAATCCTTCATTAAATTTTTTGTGTAAGTCACTGTGTGCAACATTGTTGACTTCCTTTTTCTTAAAAATGCCGTAAATCCACAGTAGTATTTCTAATAAAGAGAAAGGAGGAAGATGAAAATTATTGCACTTTATTTTGGATATTTCTGTACTTTGGTCGCTTAGGTAGCATGTATATAATGTTACCTAGAGGAGGTTGAAGTTTAGCAGGAGCTGAATATGGACCCCGACCTAGATCAGAAACTGCTGCAACCTGAACCTAAACAATTACAACATTATGGCTTTAGGTATTTTAAAATTTATTAAAATTAGGGTTTTACATTTTTTAGATTTTCCTCTTTATATTTGAGGCGAGGAGTGGTAAAGATATAAATTATAGGAATATTTCTCTCTAATTGGATTAAGAAATTCAAATAATTTCTTTATCAAATAGGAGAAATCTCATTTTGTAAACTCCAGAATTTAAGCAGTCTAATAATTTTTTGTTTGTTAAAAGCCCCTTTTTGATCGAATTAAAAATATCTTTTTAAAATATGATAAACCATCTTAGCTATCGCTTAACAAATTCTGGAACCTTGCCTGAGAGTTATATAAACTATAGAAAGCTTCTTCTTGTAAATATTATTTGTAATTTTTAAAGTCAAATCTAGTCTAATTTAGTCTAATCTAGTCTAATCTAGTCTAGTCTAGTCTAGTCTAGTCTAGTCTAGTCTAGTCTAGTCTAGTCTAGTCTAGTCTAGTCTAGTCTAGTCTAGTCTAGTAAGTCTAGTCTAGTCTAGTCTAGTCTAGTCTAGTCTAGTCTAGTCTAGTCTAGTCTAGTCTAGTCTAGTCTAAACTAGTCTAGTCTAGTCTAGTTTGTCTGGTGGAAGACGGATCTCTGCAGTTATCTCAATGAAAAGAGTTGCCTAAGATGGATAACAATAGGGTTATATTAAGAAGGAGAGTGGGGGGGTTGAGTATCATGCAACATAAAGATGAAAAGTATAGAATAAAAGATATAAAATGCTGCAAACGGAAATTAGCTTCCTTATCTAAATATTTATATAATTAAGAGTGAACCTGGAGAGTAGAGATTAGGTTTTCATTTTTATATTTAACAGTTTACAAAGGCTAGTCTGAAGTAAATCTTTACTACCCTGGATATTATTCTGAAGTATTTCTAAAAATCTGGGATGTATACTTTTCTGAAGTATATCTTGGTATCTTATATGCTAGTCTGAAGTATATCTTAGTATCTGGTATACTTGTCTAAAGTATATCTTAGTATCAGGTATGCTAGTCTGAAGTATATCTTAGTATCTGGTATGCTAGTCTGAACTATATCTTAATATCAGGTATGCTAGTCTGAAGTATATCTTAGAATACCTAAAATGTTAATCTGCAGTATATTTTAGTAGAACTGATATGTTATTCTGAAGTATATCTTGGTATCTGGTATGCTAATCCGAAGTATATCTTAGAATACCTAATATGTTAATCTGAAGTATATCTTCGTACAACTGATATGTTATTCTGAAGTATATCTTAGTATACCTGATATGTTAGTCTGAAGTATATCTTAGTTCATGGTATGTTAGTTTGAAGCATATCTTAGTATACCTGATATGTTAGTCTGAAGTATATCTTCGTACAACTGATATGTTATTCTGAAGTATATCTTAGTATACCTGATATGTTAGTCTGAAGTATATCTTAGTTCATGGTATGTTAGTTTGAAGCATATCTTAGTATACCTGATATGTTAGTCTGAAGTATATCATAGAATACCTGATGTGTTAGTCTGAAGTAAATCTTAGTGCCTGATATGTTAGTCTGAAGTATATCGATATAGAATACCTGATGTGTTAGTCTCAAGTATATCTTTGTGCCTGATATGTTAGTCTGAAGTATATCTTAGTATACCTGATATGTTAGTCTGAAGTCCAGTTCGTTTAGTTTTAGATATAATTCTGATACAAGTGAATCTACCAAACTGCTCATACTCGACTCATTGTTCTTTACCAGGATCTAAATATAATATCAAAAACATTATATTATTGAAGATTTTCATTAAAGGGAGTGACCGCCAATGTGGACTGAGTTTACAGTATTATTAAGAAATTTTTAGGATTCATTTGACACCTATCAGACGTTTTTGCGTGTGCATATTTATTCAGCAAGAGCGCAAATTCATCTTTTTTAAATATTCTTTGATTGTTCATTTAGGAGTAATGATTGTAAAATCGGTTTTTGATAAAAATCATTCAGAAACGACGAAAACAATGTAAAAAAAACTTCTACAATAAACTAATTAGTTGTTAGGAACATATTTCTCATCAGAAATTTATCAATAAATCAATGTTAGAATCAATAGTTTCTTCCTCATCATTATATTGATTTTCTTATTCTTAATGAATTTGTTCGCAGATTTCTTCAATTTCTTCATATGTCGTCTTTTCATTAGGCGGTCATGTTAGGAGGTTAGAAGAGGGGGGGGGGGAGAGTGTGTGTAAATAGTGAGCTGTGTAAAGTTTGACTAAACAATGCATCATGATATCCCTAGAAAAATAAACAAATAAGAAAGAAATCCCTAAAACAAAGATTTAGCGTGTGATAGGTGAACCCTGGGGGAAAATTTGGATAATTTGAGGGGGAAACCTTATCTTCTCAAGGAGAAATGTATTCAGCATTTTATCTGTGAATTCATCGTCTAAAATAATAAACTGTTCTCTCTTCAAATTCTTGGAAACGTTTAAAGAAATAAAGTGTACAGTTTAGATAAAAATGTGAACTTGATGCCGGGACAGGATCAAGTTTACAGAAGTCCTGTAAACTTGATTATAGAAAATAAACTTTTATTTTCAACTTTTTTGTCATTCGATCTATTTATTGACATTTTTAACCTCTTTCAAATCAAAGGGTGTATCAAAACAGTTTACACGACTTAAAATATATCCGTAATCTGATGTCCTTTAGTTGTATATTTAAAATATATCCGTAATCTGATGTCCTTTAGTTGTATATTTAAAATATATCCGTAATCTGATGTCCTTTAGTTGTATATTTAAAAATTACAAAGATGAAATTTTGAAATCCGAACAAACTTCTTTCTGGTTCTGGTAATTATAAAGCACAAAAAGACGCGACCACATTTGGACTATTGTTATTTAAACAATTGTTTTATAAATAATGACTGTAAAATTAAATAAAGGCTGCATCCAATTGTAATAGATATAGGCAGTATTTTTCATGATCAGATAGTTACTTTTGAAAACATTTATTCCTGTTTCGAGGATTTTTGATAATGAAGACAACATTTTCATATTTTCCAGGTATGTTCGAAAATCCAGCGCCAGCGAAATTTATTTAAAAAACAAAATCAAAATATTACGAAATATCAACTATTTAAGAATGCGTCGAAAAATAATCGATGACTATTGTTTGTATAATATCTGAATGATTTGTTTGGACGCTGCGTTCTTCGGTGTGAGTCGTAAGTAAGATTAGTAGCGATCAAAAGCGCTTTTTTATCGCAAGCTCAAAACTTTAAGAAATTTTAATCATGGTTAAAACGGATTCTGACCATGGTAAAATGAATTAAGACGACAGATTCTTGTAACCAAGGTAAAAAAAAAGTTTCGCGTCTCAGTCAGACATAAACAAACTTATATTTGTTCTTGATTTTAACTTGAAAATGAATTTATTGCACGTTTGCTGTGTTTCTTGTTCATAGGAATATTTAAAATCATAAACTAAATCTAACAGTCATCTTCCAATTCCACAGTATTATGGAGCTCACTGTATTATTGTATATGAGTCAGATCCCTTAGTGTTTAAATAATATCACCTCGTATCCTTGAATCCTTGGATCTGGATTATTCTGCCAAACTACAAATGCAGTGCTTACATTTAGCATCTCAGCAATTAGCAGGACAGGGGCACCTACAAAGCACAATTAAAGGGACTGTGCCCGTAATTTCAACTGGGAAAGATAAAGCAGCATGTCTTACTCACAAAGATACCATTAAAAGCTTTGTATGATCAAGTATGAGTTAGAAATTTTTATTTGTGGTTTCTCTGCAAACGTGACTTTCACACCATTGATCATCGAGTTGGTCACTCAGCACCAAAGGGGTATATCTTCCTTACAGATCATTATTTTTACATCTAGTTTTTTCTAAAGGAAGTCCAGTATATCCCTGAATGGTGTTCTGGCCAGGATGTACCTTGAAAAGTGCAGGGGCGCAAACTGTTGAAAAAAAGGGGGGTCGATAGGGTGCTATTTTCGGAAATAATGATTCAA